CGGTAGCTGCGTCAGCACGTCCTCCTGGCAAACATTCTGCCCACCAGCTTACACACACGTGTGGACCCTGTATAAAGAGCTCTTGTGCGGACCGTATCAGGCCCGTCACATGGCCGTAACCGTTTGAAGTTCAAGCGCTTGGGTCGAGTGCACTTTGGCATGTTCCGCTAGATGCGTTTGGAACGGGTTCCCGAAGGTTCTTGGCATATCCTAGTGCCAGTGTATGTCGAAGGAGCAGTGGCAAATGATAGCGTGTTATGAAACCTTTGTACTGCTGAAATTGATATAGATTCAATGTTAGACCTTCAACCTTGCACGGTGCATGCCCTTAAACTCTGCACCGCTAAACCCCAAAGCCCTAAACCCTAGACCCCTAAACCCCTAAACCCGACAGGTCTTGCGGCCACGCACCCTCCCCGAAATGTCGCCAACCCGGCATTTCGTGGAGCTGTGCCGGGTCTCAAACTTGCAACTATCAGGAGCTCAGGGATTAGGGATTAGTAGAGTAGATTGTAGATTAGTATAGTACAGTATACTATGAATTAATACGAGTATAGTATGATATATACTAAAATATAATATCAGGAGCATGAATTAGCATGCGATCCAAATCCGACCGCTGCAAGACAAAAGGAAATATCGGTAAAGTGTATCTATGAGGACTGCACTGATGAAGCGTAAACGGCAAAATTGTCGCGCGCACAGTGTGCATGACGATTTCGACTGAAGGGTGTGTCACCTAACTGTATACGTTGTGGGCCCTCAAGCAAATCGTGTGAAGCCACATGTCGGCTTCAGGGCCCAGAATAAAGGGTTACGGGGATGCCTAACCATAGACCGTAAGCCCGAAATACCATGTTATGGTCCTTGCACAACTCTGATTACTCAACCCATGCACATCACAGGGCTAGGGTGAACCGCCCAAGAGAGCATGTCGCCCAGTCCTATTCCCGGTCTGAGTATGGAATATTATACCTCCAAAACTCCGAACCCCTAACCCCTATAAACCCTGAACCCTAGAATTTACTGTCAAGTTTCTAAAGGACGCAGTAACAAATCTTGAGTTTGCGCACTCATGAACATTAAACAGCGCTTCTCGGCTCGACAGGACAAACTTCATCAAACTGCTAGGGTTGCGAAGCTGACAAAGTTTCGTGACCAGGATTTTGGACAAAGGGATAAGTGAATAGGGCTGAAGCACCAATGACAGGATTCGGGTGAGCATACGAAATCCCGTACTCTTACAGTTAACCTGAACTTTGAGCAGAAACTATTATGCATCCGCAAAACGAAGTTAAGTTCTTGAGTTTGGGTCAGATGGGTTCAGGGTATAGGGATGTCACGGCTGAGGGTTTGCGGGGCAGAGGGGTAGAGCGTGAAGTGCAGGGTCGCAGGATTAAGTTCGGCCCCTGTGTATGTATGTATGAATATGTGTATGTATGTGTGCATGTGTGCATGTGTGTCTGGACGTCTGTAAGCCTGTATGTGTGCTATGTCTGTCTGTATGTAAGTATGTTTGCTCACGTGTAGGTATGTTGGTATGCATGTATATAAATATATATATATATATAGAGAGAGAGAGAGAGAGAGAGAGAGAGAGAGAGAGAACGAGAACGAGAACGAGAACGAGAACGAGAACGAGAGGTCATTGAAGGCATGTAAGGATGTAGAGCTGCAAGCAGGCAGGCAGGGAGGTAGGTGTATTCTTTGAACGTCGTCCGGCAAATATGCATATTGTTGATAATTGTTGCCAGGCAGACATGATATAGATCCTGCTCCGTTAACTCGGTTGGCCTTTAAACACCCTGAAAAATAGTTATATATAGGGTCCCTTCTAAACCCAAATAAGGAAAATAAAAAATGCCCCAAAATCCAACCTAGCTAAGCCAAAACTACCCAAGTCCCTCTGCCCCCGAGGCCCACAAACCTTAACATACTCTAAACCCCCAAACCCTCAACCATAAACCTTCAAACCTCAAGCCCCGAAGCCGCACAAAGCCCACGAATCCTTAAACGCTTAAGCTTCTGAGTACTGCCCCCACCCTGCAACAGCGATTCTAAATTTACCCAATATATCTCTATTTAAACTTATGATCCAGCTGTTCCAGGGTGAGGGGCAGTACCCAAACTTTTGCTCTTATATAAGCCGGGCCACCCCTCGACCCTGCACCCTAAACCCTTCAGAGCACACCGAACCCCAAGCATCCCTGCCAAGGGGTTCCACGACCCAAAGAACGCGAGGTTTTTTGGTGTAGGGCTTAGGAGCTTCCCTGTAAAGTGCTAGTGTTGCAACAAGGAGAGCAAGTTCATATGGGGTCGGAAGCATAGCTAGTCGTATTTGTTTGCAGCCCCTAATGTAGTTGTGGTACATTATACTATCGCCAAGAACCCTTATTGAGGCCCACATATTCTTTGTATAAGTCCGATTGTAGAAACGTGAACTAAGCATCTCAGCTAGAAGAACCGAGCATACGATCTATAAGACAATACGAGAAAAGACCTGCAGACTCTAGACTATGGATGCAGAGCCATCCATCCAAAGATGCACAAGCCCATAGAAAAGCATCTGGCAAGCTTACGCCGTGCCTTCTTGCGCCGGATGCCGATCTTGTGGAAGAGGTAGGTGTGCAACTCTAGCTCTCGCTGAGGACCCACCCACTTGCTTTTTCCGAAGTCGTTGTTCTTGGACCTGCAATCCCTAAGGAAACATGTGCTCAAGCAGTGTATGCCGTATGGTTCAATGATGGTTTTCGTAAGTGTATATAGTATTTAATATAGTTCCTGCTGAGTAATGGTGAAGGCATGCCGAAGGGTACGCATGAATACAGTACCTTAGCAGCCCAGTAACCTATATAGTGGCTCACTGGGTTCAGGGTTGCAGTGCACGGCCCTGACCCTGAACCCGAAACCACAACCCTAACCGCAAACCCTAAACCCCAAAACCCAAAGCGTAAACCCTGAAACCTAAAACCAAAACCCTAAACCGTAAACACTAAACCCTAAAACCAAACTAAAGCCCCCTAAAACCAAAACCAAACAAAACCCACACCGTAAACCCTAAACCCTAAAACCAAAACCAAACTAAAACCCTTAACCGTAATCCCTAAACCCTAAAACCAAAACCAAACTAAAATCGTCAACCGTAGACCCTAAACCCTAAAATCAAAACCAAACTAAAACCCTAAACCGTAAACCCTAAACCCCAAAACCAAAACCCTAAACCGTAAACCCTAAAACCAGAACCAAAACCCTAAACCATCGAGCCTGAGCTAGGTCCGCTGTTTCAAACTAGCCAAAGTCACTCCACTACGACTTTGAAACTCTCTGAAGCCAGGCAAGACATCTGTGGTTCACCAGAGCCTACTAGCATTTCAAGGGGTAGTTCTCTAAATTACGGCCCGTCTAGGTCCTCAAAATAGGACGACATCCTTCAAAAAAGGACGCTAAACTAAAAGGGACCCTAATTTGGAGAACTACCCAAATTAATGCACCTGAAGTATCGACGCCCAAATGTGCTTTCGTCCGGCAGACGGCTATCCAGCAGGCGCAGAAGCGGAAACCTGGGAGCTTTGAGGAGAATAATTCTAGGATTCGTTATATGAATCCCAAAAAGGAACTACGTTGGGGCCTTTGGGTAAATCCTAAACCCTATAAACCTTAGATGCTGAACCCGCGAACCCAGAACCCTGAAGTTTAGCGGCACGCTCAAAACCCCCTTACTGAACCCCAAACCCTGAGCCATAGAGCCTGAGCCCTAAACCCTATAAAGTTTAGCTAGGTTCCTGAGTGCCCCTTTAAACGGGATTATAAGAGTTCCTTTAAAGGAATCTATAACGGTACTATAAGGGTTTAGGGTTTAGAGACTGCTATACTAGGTTCCTGAATAGCCCCTTTCTAAGAAGCGTACCCTTGTTTCCTAATATACTTCGGTTCAAGGAACCCTGAGGTAGAAAGTGCACAAAGGTACTACGCAGGAACCTAGTTAAACCCTAAACCGCAAACCCCTAAACCCTAAACAGTTAGGCTTGGCGGCAAGCTAGGCTTTGCGAGTTCAGGCTTGGGAGTTAGCTAGGCTGTGGGGCGGCTAGGGTTTCGGGCTTCTAGGGCCTAGGTGGGCTTAGAGGTAGGGTGAGGGTTTAGGGTTTCGGGTTTGTAGGGCTGAGGTAGTGTTATCACAACCAAGGAAAACAAATCCCTACCCAGACACCTGACAGGATCAAAAAGGGAGATCCCATAAGGGGGTTGCTAAACCCTAAGCCTAAACCTTTATAAACCCTAAGTCCTAAACCCTAAACCTTTAAACCCTAAACCCCTAAACCCTAAATCCCTGGACCCCTAAACCCTAAATTGCAGAGGCTCCCAAGTCTAGGACCCCCAAAAAGCACATAAGCAAAAATTAGGATAGGGATATCCCATACCAACCCCCTTATAATGAAGCCCAACAAGGTAGGGATATCCCTATAAAATGTTTATGCTTATGTGCTTTTTTGGGTCCCTAAAGTCAGAGAAGGGGGCCGGGGCCTATGAGCCAGTGCGATTTCTGGAGCCTCTGACTCATTGCTTCTGGGCCTGGGGTTCAGGGTTCCTTTAAGGAATACTGTAAGGGTTCCTTTAAGGGATCTATAGGGTTTAGGGGTTTAGGGTTTAAGGTTTGGGGGTTTATAGGGTTTAGGAGTTTGGGGGCCTGCTTCTGGGCCTTGTTTTTTGGGGGTTTAGGATTTGGGGTTTGGGGTTTAGGGGCTCTTCCAAAGGTGCTGCAAGACAACATAGCGATCGCCATCGGCTGACAGCTCCGGGCAAGGCGAGGGACCGCCTCAATCCAAGAGGACGTGCCCTTGATCACCTTGCCGCAGATAACCCTGGCATATCGCTGCACTTAAGGTTTAGGGCTTAGGGGTTTAGGGCTTTAGGCTTTAGGGTTTAGGGTCTAGGGGTTTCGGGTTTAGGGGCATCGGACATGGACCCCTAAACCCTAAAACCTAAACCTAGACTCCCTAGACCGGACAAACGCAGCTGGGTAGCAACTCCATCGCCGAGTTCAACACCGGCGTGCCGCTGATGAGGATGAGGAATTTCGCTTCCTAGACCCCCCCAACTACTTGAAGGTTCATGGGTAGTTATAAGGGTTCCTTGAAGGGTCCTTTTAAAGGGAACCATAGGGAATCTATAAGGGTATGTGGGTTGAACCTTTACGCTCTATTTGACAACCGCCCTCTGCCAGTACTTTTCATCGGCCAAGTTTTCTATACTTGTAGCACGGATGGCGAAAATTGGCTCAAGCCTTCTGACACGCTTGCAGCTGTGCTTGCGACAGATGCTCCTCAAGAAAACACTCAAGCAATGTAAGGGTCTTCATAACCAATTAGAATAGGGCTTTGGGGCCCGCTATACTCTAAATATTTCAGGAACCCCCACCGCAAGCATCGACCGCACTCACTCTATGTGCACACAGCCGTCTGCGTCGATGAGTTGTCCAAGTTCGTCCGTCTTCGGAACTGATTGTGGTGGCCATTCCTACCGGGGCCTGTATATGGGCTCGGTTCCGGGACGATGAACCCATGCCTCTGCAAAGCAATCATACAACCCTATGAAGTTGCTGCACTGGAATTGCTTGCGCAGGCATTTATCAACCAAATTCGAAGTAGTATAACACGGCAGGGCGGTGTTGACGGGGACCAACGAGAAGGTTTTGGGGTTTAGGACGCATCCAAGGAGCTGAAGGCCCCAGAAAGTGCTGGGGCATTTGTAGACAATCCCGTAGGGTCCGAGACCGGAACTTTAAGCATTTTCGACATTTAAAGCAATTTACGGTTTTTCGTGAAATTTGCCAAACTAGCCATTCCAACTAGGATTCCTGTTTGAGGCTCACAATCGTGGGGCTTCGTGGGGCCTTCGTGGGACCTTCGTGGGGCTTCGTGGAATCTCGGACGGGGTTGGTGGGACTTCGTGGCCCTGGCACCCTCGTGGAACCTTCGTGGCGGCCTACCGAACCTCTGCACAAAGGCCCGGCAGCTCTTTGGTCAGAAACGCAAATTTTACATAGGCATGGAGATGCACCGAAAGTCACCCTGAATCACCTAAGTTCACCCAAAACAATCGGAACAGTTGGAATGCCCTGTCGGCCTCTATTTCGGAGTCGAAGAACCCCAAGCTGCCCCAGGCTGCTATTTCTGATAAAAGGCTGTCAGCTCATTGATACACGACAGCTCCGGATCACCTTTTGACAACGCAACGGTTGCTCGGTGAACTAGACCTTGCGTGTGTGCGTGTGCGTCTGAGTCTGCGTGTGCGTGTGTAGCACACCGCTGCACTGAACGAGCGCCAGGCCGGCTTCCGGGCCTGGGCAGCAGTGTGACTTTGCTGTTGCTTTGCTCTCAATGTCTTGACTGTAGCTTCCGGCCAGAAGCATGTCGGAAAATTGTAAACAATTTAAAAATTTCAAAAATTCTAAATATATTGTTTTGCATTTTTTGTAAATTTTCAAATTTTTAAAAATGAAATCAAATCGCTCTGAAAACTCCAGATCGGACTCCAGGACCTCGATTTTTTTCTATTTGTTCAAAACTTTCCTTATTAAAGAATGTTTTTTAAAAAAACAATATTCATTGTTTTTAATATTTTCCTTATTGAAAACTTAAAAAAGTAAAACTCAAAACAACAAAATATTTCTAGTTTTGTTTATTTTTGAAATTTTTAATTTTGTTTGAAATGCAAATCGTTTTGAAAACTCCAGATCGGACCCCAGGTCCTCGATTTTTTTGAGTTTCCGTATTACAAAATTTAAAAAATAAAAAATATTCAATTTGCTTAAAATTTGCCTTATTGAAAATTTTCGAAAATATTACAAGTTCAAATCCGGTAAATAGTCTTGTAGACAAGAAAGGCATCCGCCAGATCGAGCATAAAGGTTTTACGTACATAAGGGTATAGGGTCTAGGGTCTACTTGGAGGTTCATGGGTAGTTATAAGTAGGGTAACTTTCCTTATAACCCATATGAGGGGACTTATAGCTCCATTCATAACTACCCATGAACCTCCAAGTACCCTCTATAATATCCCGAATACCTCTACTAAGGACCATAGGGCTCTATTACAGGGTATTTGGGGGTGCCTGGTTCCTTGCAAGGTTTAGGCTCGCTTTCGGGTTTAGGATTAACGCATCCTCAATCCCTGATGGGGTCACGACTTCAGAATAGTCTCAGTGACTTAGCTACAATGTTCTCGGTATGTAGTACCTAAAACGCCTGGGAGGATCCGAAAAGTAGATCCGGGGTCTCCCGTAAACTATCGTTGAGTAGCTTCGAGTCCCAGATTGGGGATTCGGGATCTACTTTGCAGGTCCTCCCAGCTGTCTGGAAGTAAACCTTTGCATCTTGTCGGCCTGAAACCCCAATCCAAGTTGTGGCTTCTGGATTTAGGCCGATAGGTTTCATGGCTTGGACTTTTGCTTTCGGGTTTAGGGTTTAGAGTTTTGGGGCTAAGCTTTCGGGTTCAGGGCTTAGAGTCTTGGGGTTACGCTTTCGGGTTTAGGGTTCAGGGGGAGGAAGCACCAATCACCAGAAGCCACGAGACACAACTCGACAGGACCTCCGGTAGCAAAGTGTTGCAGCACACAAGTCGTAAACCCAACCTCCTGCATCCCAAACCCCACTCGAACGTTCGTCCCTGGGTTCAGGTCTGTGTTACGCGACAGCGACGCTCTCACATGCCCCGACTTACTGATGCCGAATGCTTCACGAAGCCCAGCTAAGCGTACGATTAATAGAACGGCCTAAATAATTACCTATACGATTTTTGGGGCTCCTTATTCTACTTATAGAAATAATGGGCCCCAAAACCCTATTTTACTTATAGATTATAAGGCCCCTATATTACAGACAGGGAGGTGCGGAGCTCGTTGCCTTCATGTGGACCAGATGCCGGGAATCCATCAAGCCAAACCATGTGGCCGTAAGCCTCAGACCGTAAACCCACCAACTACCACTGAACTCAAACCCCCATAACCTGAAGCCTAGGCCTAGGCCCCTAAACTTACTACACCCTAACCCTAAACCGCTAAACCCTAAACTCCAACCCTCAACCCTAAACCTTCACCCCTAGACCGAAGATCTCGTCCCACACTCTAACTCCAGGAGCGCCTCTGCCACGGTGTATACCGCACGCGACCGCTTGGCATCCGGATTCTTGACGTAATGGCACCTCCCCGAAGCCGACCCATGTGATTTGCGGATGCTGCATGGTACTAGGTTTACCCAAAGGCTCCATGTACCTGTATAGTAGATACTTAAGCCTTAAAGGGGTCCCTATATAGGTACTTTAAGGCCTAAGTATCTACTATATGGGTACATGGAGCCTTTGGGTTAGGAGGCTGGGATCCAGTGTGAAATAGGCAGCAGTAGCAGTAGTAGTCGTGGTGGTGGTAGTCGTAGCTGTCGTGAAGACCATTCAAGATGAAATCACCAACCGGTGGATATGATGAAAATAGTGTTTGCACGGATGGCAAACCATCAGATCATGATGATGATGATGATGATGACGATGATATTCCTGTGCAGCAGGATTAGGAAGGGTAGTGGCACTAAGTCTGACGACAGGGATGTCTACGATGATGAGGACGAATGTCGCTGCTAACACCTGCAGCCGCTGCAGCCTGCATATAAACTTCTAAAGCTAAACCCTATAAACCCCCAAACCTTAAACCTTAAACCCCTAAACCCTATAGATCCCTTAAAGGAACCCTTGCAGTATTCCTTAAAGGAGCCCTGAACCCGAGGCCCAGAAGCAGTGAGTCAGAGGCTCCAGAGACCAACCCAAATAACCGGAACCTGGGGTCCGACGGCCGGCGCTGTAAGAAAGATTAGGGTTTAGGGTTTAGGGTTTAGGGTTTAGGGGTTTAGGGTTTAGGGTTTAGGGTTTAGGGGTTTAGGGTTTAGGGTTTGGTTTAGGGTTTAGGGGGGTTTAGGGTTTAGGGTTTATGGGTTTAGGGGTTTAGGGTTTAGGGTTTAGGGGTTTAGGGTTTAGGGTTTAGGGGTTTAGGGTTTAGGGTTTAGGGGTTTAGGGTTTAGGGTTTAGGGGTTTAGGGTTTCACCCAGAGACTCCAAAACCCCTTAATTAAGGAATATACTTAAATCATATTAGGGATCCTTCTATAACTTAGGGTTAGGGCTACAGTAGAAGCCAGAAAGTTGGAATATCATTATCGTAATTTAAGGTAAATTATAGGGGATCCTACCATTAATCCATATTCCAACTTTCTGCAGTTCCCTTTAAGAAGGTGGGAACCACAGGTAAGTTACGATTTCGAAGCGAATCCCCTGGGCTTCAAACGAACAGGTTGAGATTGCTCGGGTTTCTGGTCTCCCGTTTACTAGGATGCACAGTAACCTGGGAATAAAAAGGGCTCCCTTTTTGGTATTGGGTAACTTTATAAGGAACCTAGAACTACAAAAGGGGAATAAGGGTACTACTGGGCATCCTAGATTAAGATAAGGAACCCTGCTACGCCAAGCATAGGATCCCTACCTTCATCTACCTTCATATGACGCTCTAGGGTTTTAAGATCCTGGCCCTTTAACCTACTTGTCGGGTATCATGGGGAACTTAAGGTTAACCTTTTAGGGTATATGGTGAGTATATATAGAGACTATACTACCCACAAAAGGTTAAAGGTTACCTACTCTACTACTAGGTTGCACATCCTTAGACCCCGAGCCCACATCTTGCCACACGAAACTCAGCACCTGCGCTTAAACCCTCAAGCCCTGAACCTTAGCCCCTCAAACCAAAATCCTTCTTCACGGGGCGCTCGTCACAGACCACCAACCGGTAGGGCTGACCGCGCGCATCTCGCAAAAGATGCTTTTGCCTGCTTTCATTGAGGCTTGGGGTCTGCTCGGTTGGTGTTGTAAGGTCTTCTTGAGGGTTGTTGGGACTTGTTGTGCATGACTTTTCGTGTCCTGTCGGGTTTTTGCAACGGGATTTTTGGATGCGGGGCTTTCAGGGTTCAGGGTTCGGTTTGGTTTCAGGATCGGTTTTCAGGGCTGAGGCATTTAAGCGTTTAGGGTGCAGCAGCTTATTACTTATGTAGTAGCCGGCGATGTTCTGGGATTGAGGCTTGGGACGGCGTAGAATTACAATTCCTGATGACGTGTGCTATACACCCGAAACCCTGAACGGCCAAGCCCCAAGACCCAACAAAACCCGAAACCCTGAACTCCCTTAATGTTCCCCTAAGGGCCAGGTATCCAAATCGTATATACCATGGCTTTAAAGCAGTCCCTATCTGGATACTTTAAGGCCAAGGTATATACTGTTTGGGCGCATGGACACTTTATAAGGTTCTTCCGCTCCTGTGAAGCAGTGAATTCTACGCTTGTATCAAGCGTCTGTTCGGGGGCCTTAAATCCTCAACTCTCACCTCCGTAGGACCCCAAAACGAACACATAAAGGCCACTCAGAATGGCCAAACAGCTTCCCAACCCGCCTGACCAGTAATGCATACGACACGATGACCCAGGACGCATCAGGATCAAGAGGCGTGCTGCCAGAGTAGATGACCTGCACCTGCTTCGGGGACAGATTCAGTGTATACAAGTTTCACCCATGAGCCGTTAAGTTGGGTTTACCTGACCGCCCAGACCCAACAAAGTAGGTTACGACCCCTTAAGTGTGGGGTATGGCCCTTGAATCATTCCGAAGGGTCCAATGTACTGTTGTGGGGAATACTTCCCTCAGTCATTGCTCTACTCCCCTTGGAAGGTAAGCAAAAAACTACTTTTTCGGAGACCCCTATAAAAGAAGACCGGAACCAAAAAAGGAACAAAGTAACATAAAGTCTCCAAGAGCCTTAAAGATTGAATCATAATAGTAATTTCTAATATGGAAATCCTACATTCTACTATATCGATACATAGGACAGTTCGGGACAGTAGGGTGTAGGATCCACAGGTGAAGCTTTGGGCTTTGGGGTTCCGGGGGAGAAGGAAACTGTTGAGCTTCTGCGCTGATGGACTTGGCGATTTTTAGGGTTTAGGGGTTTAGGGTTTAGGGTTTAGGGGTTTAGGGTTTAGGGTTTAGGGTTTAGGGTTTAGGGTTTAGGGTTTAGGGTTTAGGGTTTAGGGGTTTAGGGTTTAGGGTTTAGGGTTCCAGGGTGTAGGGTTTTAGGGTCTTCAGGGGGTTTGGGGTTTAGGGTTCCAGGGTGTAGGGTTTTAGGGTCTTCAGGGGGTTTGGGGATGAGGGTTCCAGGATGTAGGGTTTTAGGGTCTTCAGGGGGTTTGGGGATTAGGGTTCCAGGGTGTAGGGTTTTAGGGTCTTCAGGGGGTTTGGGGATTAGGGTTCCAGGATGTAGGGTTTTAGGGTCTTCAGGGGGTTTGGGGATTAGGGTTCCAGGATGTAGGGTTTTAGGGTCTTCAGGGGGTTTGGGGTTTAGGGTTCCAGGATGTAGGGTTTTAGGGTCTTCAGGGCTCAGGGGTTCCAGGGAGTAGGGCCATAGAGATTTTTCATCCGGGCACTCGGAATCGTCGGAGCTCTCCTTCTGGACAATGTCACTTTGGGCGCCCGTGTCAGACAACTCAAAGTTACAGCCCGATAGCACATCTTCCCGCACCAGCTCAGAGTCAGTGTACTCGTCCCTGTCAGGTGGCTATCAGGCTTGCAAAGTTTACAGCGCTGAGTTCGAGCGGGAACAAGCCTTTGGGCGTGTCGTCTCAAACTTGAATCCGCGACCCAAGAATAGCAAACGTAAATGAAGTTGAGAACTAGTTATGAACTTAGCCCCGCATGCCAGTCACACAAAGGCGCGGGACCGCGCTCAATCAGCGAAGCTCTGAACCCTTCAGCGCCAGACCTGAAACCCCTCAACCCTTTAAACTTTAAGCGCTAAAATCATATCCTTGAGGTCCTACTTAAAGGGTCATGGGACTTAGTAATTGGGGTTATAAGTAAAGTAACTACAGTTCTAATTACATATAAACTTATTTAGGTACATTAAGGTATATACTTATGACCCTCATTAAGTCCCATGATCCTCTAGGTAAGAACTAAACTTGCAACTCCCAGTCCACCCTAAACCCTAAACCCAGTCTAGAACACTGCACAACATCCGCCTCCACCTCGCTCTCTGGGTCTGCCGGAGCAGGATTTCCGGTATAGTAAGACTACATAATCATAGTATATTGAAGGTACTATGATAGTATATTCATAATATAGTAAACTCTAGTATTATGAGAATATATTCATAAGATTTTATCGTATTAATATAGTATCTCCAGAATATATTAGTGTATTCTGATGGTATATTATGGCTATTACTAGGTAGGTTTCTTCAGGCTTCCTTTGCCCTCACCATCTGCACATGACGAAACCGAAGCACACCTGGCACGGGTTTCAGTTTACGTATATCCATATGTAAAAAAGCAGGGGGTTGCACACAAAGAATAACATCTCACACGAACCACCCCTTCAATCCAAGATCACTCTGATCCCTTAACATCTAGACCCCAACCCTCCCTCCCCTACCCTAATAAACCCCACAGCTCTGAATCGCTAAAAGAGAAAATGCCTTCGCAGGATCCACGCCGGCCCATCGCCGGAGTTGCTGGAGCCAAACCTTCGGCGGTTCAGGGTTTGGAGTCATCCAGGACCCCCCGAATACCCTTTCATAGAGCCCTTATAGTCCTTAACGGGTAGTTGGGGTCATAAGGTTAATGCTCCTCATCTGAGACGGCGATTAATTAAGCCCAACGAAGACACACAGGAAAAGAACTATCCCACTCACGAGAAGCTTTCAAACTCCTTGTCCGTAAGGGCCAGTGAAAGCACAAGCGATATGTGATATGTAATCACCCGAAGATACAGTAACAACCCGGAACAACTTGAAGACTAAAATATTAAGAATTTGTCAACATCTGAGGCCCGAGGCCCTAAAACGCAAACCCTTGCATCCTAAAGCTCTGAAGCGTCAAGTTCGGAGGCATAGCGCAGGGCTTGTCCCATAACGTAGGAGCCTCAATAATTTAGAATAGGGTTTTTGGGGGCGTTCCTTTCTGTAATTATGGTATAAGATACCCCCAAACCCCAGTCTGATTCTTAAGACCCCCAAACCATAGTCTGATTCTTAAGGCCCCTACACTATAGTACCCTTCTGGTGTCCCTTGTAGTAACCCTGATATAGAACTCTCTAAAGGAAGCCCTACTCTAATTATTAAAGCCCCTACATCAGGGTACCCTTGTAGCATCCCTTCTGTATAGTAAGCCCCTGAAGACCCTTTCAAAAAGGAACCCTAAACCCTATAGTCTAACCATCAAGGCCCCCACATTAGATGAAGCCAGGTCGCCCCACGTAGGGAGCTCGGAGCCACCACTAGGATCGGGTCCTCGAGGGTGTGGGGCTTTACCTAGGAGTTAGGATTGCGGTTTAGGTTTTAGGGCTTATAGGGTTTAGGGTTTCGGTTTGTTTGATGTGTGATGTGTGATGACCTACGTACGTCCACAGGTTTCGGGTTTAGGGATTAGGGATTATACGGGTTAGGAGTTAAGATTAGGGCACCCTTGGGGACACAAACCCTCTCAATGTCAATATTGGAGAGCCAGAAGTAAGGTTAAGAAGGGTCCCGTTTAAGGGTCTCCCTCAAACTACCTAAGATTACCATGAAACCTTGTGACCCAAGATCAACATAATAGGTTGAATAGTCTCTGGTTGTGTGGCTTTGCAGAAGAAAGTAATCATTCCTCAAGAACACCCCATTTTCGGGTTTTAGAGTTTCAACCTCTGGGCTTTTAAGGCTTTCCCCACATACCTGGACCCTAAGAGACCTACCTTTTCAGGGCTCCTTATCGTGATTTCCTCTAACAGCCCTGATTAGGTTTCTTAGGTTCCCGCAAGCGTGTAAAGTCTTAGGGTTCTACCGGCGTCTGGGCCCAGTCCGAAGGTTCGGGGCCTGAGGGACGCAGAGTCATCCCCCAACGCGGAACCAAAGCCGAAACTGCTTCATGGGTTTAGGCTTATAAGGTTTAGGCCTAGGCCTTTAGGGTTGAAAGCGGTTCCCAGACCGAGTCCTGGCATTGAAATTGCTTCAAGATGCCAATCGCCTGCACCTGGGCTTTGGGGACAAGGCGTTTCGGTCATACGTCCGAATGACCCCCCAAAAAAAGATACGATGAACAACCCTGGGGTTCAGACTATCCCAAAAACACACGACGAAGCACCCAAACTAAGGGCTTAGACTGAAGCTTGGGTGAAGCTTCGTGGATTTGAGAGGCGGCTGTGATGTGCTGGCATCACAAACTTGACCCCCGAGGAAGTTAACCGAAACCTGGGCCCCACGAGCACCTCCCAATTAACCCCCTTACTAGAGCCTAAACATAACCTATATACCCACTGGTACGGACCGTAACGCCTCGATTAAAAAGGACTTGGGGGGGTGGCATGCCCAAGCCCTAATATCGGGGGCCGTAACAATTTCAATAGGGTTTTGGGATCAATTAAACTAAAAATGTAAAAAAGAAACCCCAGAATAGTATTGGTCATTGTTGAGGCCCGCGCATTGGACCCACCCTCAAACCTGTCGAGGTCGTAAGTTCAAGCCCACAATACGGCTTTCCGGTAACCCCTTGATACTAAAACAGGAAACCAACAAGGATAATCGTAATCAGAACAATCACAACATGCAGTATCGTAATGGTAATACAAAGATTACTAATAATGCTAATAGTACTAACAATACTAACAAAACAGTAGAAGTGACAAAAATAAGAGTAGTAGTAGTAGTAGTAGTAGTAGTAGTAGTAGTAGTAGTAGTAGTAGTAGTAGTAGTAGTAGTAGTAGTAGTAGTAGTAGCAGTAGCAGCAGTAGTAGTAGTGGTAGTAGTAGTAGTAGTAGCAGTAGTAGTAGTAGTAGGAGTAGGGGGCCAACGCCGACGCCGCCTGTGTGAAGTTCCTACATTTTGGCTTTTTGGTACCTTTTGGCCTTTAGTGGTCATTTTCGCCTTCAGTGGTCTTTTATGCTTTCTGACGACAGGAAAAGCCCCAGTGGAAGACCATGTGGAAGAGCATGTTATGTCTTGGGAAGGGTTCTTGCTACACAGGCTTTACGGTTACAGGGGGGGCTTTGCTGTTAGACAGGGTTAGCTGTCAGACAAGCTCTGCTTTTAGACAGGCTTAGCTGCTACACAAGGGTTCCAAGAGGGCCTTGGGTGGAAAGGGACTTCTGATTTAAAATGGTTTGGCTTGGTTTGGGGGGGGCTTGGGACTGGTGAGGGGTGGCGGGGTGTGTGATTGGGAAGGTTTCTTGCCACGCAGGCTTTACTGTTACAGAGGGGCTTTGCTGTTAGACTGGGTTGGCTGTTAGACATGCTCTACTGTTAGACAGGCTTAGCTGCCATACAAGGGTTGCGCGAGGGCCTTGGGTAATAGGGAGTTCTGATTTAAAATGGCTCGGGTAGTAGTAGTAGTAGTAGTAGTAGTAGTAGCAGCAATAATCATACGGGACCCTTGTTCATAGTATTCGGTTTCAATTAACAAGGAGACACCAAAAAAACAGTGCAAAAAAGTACTACTGGGGAAAAAATCTTTAGACCCTAAACCCTAAACTCACCCTGGCCCTCAACCGTCAACGCTGGACCCTGAGTAAAGGGCCTGGAGCGTCAACTCCCGAACCTCGGTACTTTTGGCGGGTTCCCGTAAACCCTACAAAGCCAGAAAACCCCTACGTCCTAAACCCGGAGCGTGAAAGGAGAGGGGCCGTCTTACCCAATCCCATGTCGTCGGCCAGCAGCAGTCGACCTTGTCGACGTATGCCAAACCTCGGCTGAGCGAAAACAAGAAACATCGAAGCACCAACTCGTTGAGGCGACCATGATATAGTACCCTAAATAGTAGGATCCTTATTATATGGACCCCAAAATAAGGTACCCCTAATTTTCGGAAACTCCCATATGAGGGGCTGCTGCGGAACAATGTCCCCACGATTTAGGGTTCAGGTTTCCACAGGAGGGCAGGGGGATTGTCTTGAGCCGCTTTACCCATCTCTTTCACAAGGATCATGACAGGGACCCGAATCATGTTGAGGCCAGTGACGAAAGAGCGCTTGCCGATCAGGGATCTACATTAAAATGGCTGTGCTTCGGTTGGAGTACCGGTTCAGGCTCGCATTTGCGAGGCTTCCTCGAATTCTGGGAAAGTGATGCGAGCGATTGGCAGCGGCAACGATATAGTGAACACACACAGACGGGTATGCTTCATTCATAACTTGTCGTATACCATAAATCTATGTATGTTTGTTGTCGAAATCTTTCCTTGAACCTTAAACCCCTATAGGACTCTGTAAACCCCAAACTCTATAAACCCTAAACCCCTAAAACTCTATAAGCCCTAAACGGCCCAGTACATCGGTCAGCCCAGCAGCTCAATGCCGGTCCGCTGGTAAGGCAAAAGCTCCTCGACCGCGCTTGGCATTTACGAGAGAGTTGAGGGTTTAAGGTTTAGGGGCATATAAGGCTTTGGGTTTAGGGTTTAGGGTTTGGGGTTTAGGGGCTTAAGGCTTTGGGTTTTGCGTTTAGGGTTTTAGCGTTTAGAAGCGGGTGATAGGGTTTCTACTGACTGTTTCCCGAACGATTAGAAGATAAGCTAAAACTCAGCATGCCATGCCCACAACCCCGGACTGTAAAACCTAAATCCCGAAACTCCAAAACATCAAACCAAATAGTATAGTGTTTAAAGTTGAGGATTGAGGTTTCGTTTAGTTGCGAAAGGGTTCCCTTAGTGGCTTAAAAGGCTTGCGCTTGAAAGATACATGTTCAGGGTTGAACTTGCTACAAGTTCTTTATAGTTCTTATTCGCACTTGCACCCCACCTTTTTACAGCTTCGCAGCGTTCTGCGAGGCTTCTCCAGGGTTTTTGTAGTACATGCTTTCCTGGGGAGGGTTTAGGTAACTGATGCTCTCCGTATGTACGGAGCCTGCCGGCTCTCTAGTTAGGGAACTCCAAGCCAAAGGACTAAATAAAAAACATGCTTGAAGGTTGAGCGTGTGTGGCCTCGGCGTAGGCTTAGAAACAGCGCGGCGAAGCACGTGAACTCTATGAAGCCCTCCGCGGGCCCGTCAAGAATCTCGATACGCACCTCAGAAAATCGCAAGCAATCCCACAAACAAAACGCAGATTTTCAAACTAGCAAGAAATTTGTGGCGTTGAACAGGACCCTAAAGTATAGAAAACTGTAAACCAAAACCTCCTAACGAACCGAAACCCTAAACTCTAAACCCTAAACCCCAAATCCTAAACCCCAAGCCCGAAACCCTGGACACCAAACCCTAAACCCTAAACCCTAAACCGCTAAAACACCCAAAACCTGGACTATGGCTCTCCTCGGCCACCGGCTCCCGGAAGAAAGTCGGCTCAGGGGTCGGCGCCTACATTTGCGGGGCCGTACTAACCCAAAGGCTCCACCACTATGGGCTATTAGACCCTAAAGATCCCTATTAGGACCCTAATAAGGGTAGATTAAGGCACCCATAAGGTCTAACAGCCCATAGTGGCATGGTTTAGGGTTTAGGGTTTGGGGTTTAGGGTTTAGGCTCCATGTACCTGTATAGTAGATACTTAAGCCTTAAAAGGGTTGCTGTATAGGTACTTTAAGGCCTAAGTATCTACTATATGGGTACATGGAGCCTTTGGTTAATTGGAACATGAGGGTTTAGGGTTTCCGGTCCACACTTTGGCTTTTTTGGGGTTGCTTGGGGTTTAGGGTTTAGGCTCCTTCACTGTCGGGGATTAATAAGACTGCGCAAGGGTTCTGCTAGGACTCTATTGGGGCCCTAAACCCTACACCCTAGACCCTTCCCGTGGGGTTGTATTCAGACTTTGTGAGGGTCCTAGAAGAGTCTGTTAGGGTTCTGTGAGGGCTTCGGGGTGGTCTCTAAAGCTTCAGTTGCTTGCAAGCCTTTTCAGGTCCTTGATGTGTTTTAACGGTTGATGGCTGAAGGGCTTGTGTGCGGATGTGAAGGCTTCCCGGTTGCAGATTCTCCTTTGTGCCTGCATGTGGGAGTTTCCGAAAATTAGGGGAACCTTATTTTGGGGTCTTTATAATCAGGATCCTACTATTTAGGGCGCTATAAGGGTCCCCTATTTTTGGGAAACTCCCATGTGTCTATTCCTACATCCTCAACCTCACTCCTTCCTGCAATAACCCTAGGACCACTAAACCCTCAACCCCCAAATGTTTTGGGTTTAGGATTTAGTAACCCAGACCTCCATTAGGAATTTACCAATTCCTGCACCCCATAGCTTAGGGAAGCTTGCTTAGCAAAACTTACGAATGTCTTGAAACTGTCGCATCTAATTGGCTACAAAACGAACCCTAGACTCTGCTGTACTTAGCAGGACACGTCTGACTACAAACGAAAGCCCTGAGCCCTAACCCTAAGGATCCATGTGCCCAAATCGTATATACTTAGGCCCGAAAGTACCTGACCAGGGACTACTTTAAAGTATATAATAACCGTGAACTAACCTTCGGCTCAGACCCTAGAAGCTTTCACCCCGAACGTGCCACCGTTTCAAGGGAATTTGCAGGTATCTGCTAATTCGGTTACTGCTACCCTAAGGGTCCAAGTACCCAAATAGTAGGGTTTCAGGCTCCAAAAACCATTCAGAGTATGGATTTTGGGCCCTAACACCCTACTATTTGGGTACTTGGACCCTCTGGGCTACATATAAGCGGGGGCCTTCGGCTAAACAATCGGCCACACCCTAAACCGCGCCCGGAAAAACCTACAAAGCAGATCAAACACTAGACCCAAGAGTAACCTAGGAATAAAAAGGGTGCCCTTTTTGAGTTAAAAGGGTGTTATAAAAGAACCGAAACCTTAAAAAAGGGAATAAGGGCCTACTCTGGGTCCATCTACCCTCTATTAGACCCTAAATGCCCCTTATTTGGCACCATCTACCCCTATTTGAAGGTACAAGGAGGGAATAAGGGCCTACTCTGGGTCCTAGAACAACAGCACATGAAGCCTGAACTCCCGAACAGCCCGCCACAGGCTGAGGGGGCTGAGGGGTCTTAGGGTTTAGGGTTTAGGGTTTAGGGTTTAGGGTTTATAGGGTTTATAGGGTTTAGGGTTTAGGGTTTATAGGGTTTAGGGTTTAGGGTTTAGGGTTCTTTTAAAAGACTATGCCCTCATGCCCCAAATTCGTGTAATATAGGGGCCTAAATAAATATCAATATTATTTTGGGGTTTATTATACTTATTGTATAATAGTCCAAAACCCTATTCGAATTATTAAGGCCCCTGCATTATTTGCTTTGTAAGAAGACACCCTGACCCTAAACCCTAAACCCTATACCCTAAACCGTGTCGCCTCGTTCGTCTGGCGCGAAGAGGGCTGATACAGATCCTCCAGCCACTCGGGCAGCAACAGCCTGGTCGGCTGCTGGAGGTTTTAAGGTTTGGGGTTTGGGGTTTAGGGTTTGGGGTTTAGGGTTTGGGCTTTTAGGGTTTGGGGCTCAGGGTTTGAGGTTTAGGGTTTGGGGTTTAGGGTTTGGGGTTGGGCGGAAAAATGGTTTGGGTTTTCAGGGTTAAGGGTTTGGGGTTTAGGATTTGGGCTTTTAGGGTTTGGGGTTTGGGGTTTTAGGGTTTGGGGTTTGGTGTTTAGGGTTTGGGGTTTTCAGGGTTTGGGGTTTGGGCTTTTTGGGTTTATGGTTCAGGGGGGTTTGGGGTTCGGGGTTTATGGTTGAAAGGGGTTTGGGGTTGAGGGTTTAGCGTTCAGGGTTCGTGGTTTGCAAGGGCTCGATGAAATTTGTTCAAGACGTGCAGGGGTTCACCAAAACTTGTTAGAATTTTCTAGCAGCCCTCATAAGACAGAGATTTTCAAAGACTCCTGCAAAACCCCAATGCCCAAACCCATTAGACCCCTAGACATGACAAGCGGAAGGGGACTTCGTAAGTGGGTTAGAAACAGAGTTATAAGTACCCTGAATGCAGTTATCCTGCTTTTTGCCATGGTACTTACTTGTCCCCTGATCTTTTCACTAAAAAATTTGGGTCCGTCTACCGAAACGGTATGTAGCTGAACTTGCAGCGGTCCTTAAGGTACTTCAATGTCCCAAAGTATATTCTATATGGGCACATGGACCCTTAGGAGCCCCCTAAACCCCTAAACCCTGAGCCTAACTAAACCGAAAACCCTTAAACGCCAAGTTAAACCCCAAACCCTATTCTACCCTGTCCCTTTGTAGAACCTGTATATAGATCCCGTTAAAGGAACCCAAACCCGAGACCCGAAACCTCCGAACTGTGGAGACCCCTGAAACCACGAAGTCTGCGACTGCCTGGTGCTTTGCAGGGTCATGGGGGAATGAATTGTGGGGACTGCTCTCGGGCAAGGACTACTATAGGGATCCATTGCCCCATTCCCGAACCCTAAACACCTAAACCCTAAACCCCTAAACCCTGACCCCCAAAACCCTAAACCTCAGACCCTCAACCCTAAACCCCAAAACCCTAAACCACTAAACCCTGAACCCCTAAACCCTGAACCCTAAACCCCTAAACCCCTCAACCCTAAAGCCCTAAACAGCCCTAAACGGCCCTAAACCCCTACAAACCCCTAAACACCAGCCGGGGGCGGCAAGAGCCGGCCTCGGGTTCTCACTTCCACCCCGGGCCAGGAGCCAGGCCTGTACCAGGCTCACGTCCTTGTCTCCGGGCTTTAGGGTTCAGGGTTCAGGGTTTAGGGTTTGCGGTCTAGGATTCAGGGTTCAGGGTTTAGGGTTTGCGGTCTAGGATTCAGGGTTCAGGGTTTAGGGTTTACGGTCTAGGATTCAGGGTTCAGGGTTTAGGGTTTACGGTTCAGGGTTTTGTGTGCGTGTGTGTGTGTGTGTGTTTTGTTTGCTGTTGGGTGCTTTTTTGTTTGTTTGGTTTTGCTGCATTTGTTTTTGTGCCTTGGTTTTGTGTTTTTGGGGGGTGTGGTTTAGGGTTTAAGGTTTAGGGTTTGGGGTTTAAGGTTTATGGTTTAGACAGGAGCCCCAAGCCCCAAAACCTGAAATTGTTAAGCCTTCCTTCTTTTAACTCTCTGCTCCTAAACTCTACAAGCCTTAAGGCATACTTTAACGATTCTGTGTGGCCCTTGAAGGGTTTTGGGTTGAGGCAAATTTGTGTTGTAAACCCTCCCTAAACCCCCATACCCTAAACCCTCAGCCCCGCGTAGAACCCTGACACACTCATCCAAAGGCACCTGGAACCTCTAGTACCTTTGTAGCATCGTTAATGCGAGCTCGAAAACCCTTGGTGCCCTTCTTGATCCCTCTAAACCTAGTGATCAACATAGCCCAAAAGCCTTATATAGTATGGTCTTTGGGCGCAAAAACCTTAATATATGAGTTCTTAGATCCCTAGGGTCAAGGAACACTAAAACCTATTGTAGTACGCTTATAAGTCCCGCTATTAACCGAAACCCAAGACCCCGGTCCTTCAGAGGGAAAGTCCACGCGATCGGAATCGCCTACGCAGTTTTGGACCGGTTATTCTGTAACAGTCTACGTCAGGTTTGAGGGCTTAGGGCTTGGAAGAAGTAAACTATCAATATTATCCCACAGGGTCCTATGTACTGTTACGGGGAATACTTCCCTAATTCATAAATAGCATATTCTAACTATGGAAACCCTACATTCTGCTATATCGGTACATAGGACCCTTTGGGTATCTAACTGTTACAGAGTGGGGGCAGTACCCAAGTTTGAGGGATGCTTGGGTGCGATTTTGCGTTTCAAGGCCCAGGCTTTTTATTTCGGCGTTCCTTTAAAGGGTTCAAAGAGGGGTTCCTTTAAAGGGATCTGTGAGGTTCTATAAGTAAGGGCTCCTTTAATGGAGGTCTTATGGTTACGACTTATAGGGGTTCTATAAGGGTTCCGCTGAAGGGTTTTATAAGGGCTTTCTTACAGGGATCCTTCACAGGTTCTATAAGGCTTCATTAGAGGGAACTTTAAGGGTCTAGACCCAAGAGTAACCTAGGAATAAAAAGGGTGCCCTTTTTGAGTTAAAGGGGGTTATAAGAGAACCGAAACCTTAAAAAAGGGAATAAGGGCCTACTCTGGGTCCTAGGGGTTCGCTTGAAGGGATCCTGAAGAGTTTAGGGTTTTGGGGTCGTTGGGTCGATTAGTTGTGAAGGGTGTTGGGGCGAGGGTCTTGGGTTTGGGATGCTTTGGGTCTGGGGTTTAGGGTTTTGGGGGATTAGGGTGTTGGGGTTTAGGTCGCTGAAGTCTAGGATTTCGGGCATTGGGACTAAAGTGCATCCTGCTAAGGGGTCAAGCAAGTCAAGTACAGACCACCGTCGTTAAAAGAAGAAGGGCTTTTCGGGATTCCAAGCTAGTCTCTAGCAGGCCTGAACCCTAAACCCTTACAGTAGAAGCCCAAAAGGCTCGAAACCCAATAGCCTCAATCCTTAAGAATAATATAATGTATAGGGAATCCCAGCACTACTTGGCCTTAGTCCGGTTTCCAACTTTATGGGGCTAGATTGTGTATAGAAACCCCCTTGCATGAATGAACCCTGGATGGGCATCAGGACTGTGGGTCTATTATTCTGAGTCACTTTTCTCAATGCTCCAAGAGTGAGGGCTCAATGGACAAGAACTGCTTAGGGTTTAGGGTTCAGCGTTTACAAAAACAGTTTAGCGAAGGTTGTTCTAGGGCTTCAAAGGGTTTTCAATAAGGGGGTTGAGAAGTTGCTATATAGGAGTACTACACAGTGCTCCCGAATATACATCATAGTATGCAGGCTAGCCAAGTTTACTTGTTGAGGATAGCAGAAGATGATACTGATTTGGGAGTTTCCGAAAATAGGGGTACCTTCTTTTCGGGTCCTTATAGTAAGGATCCTACTATTTAGGGTACTATTTTTGGATCCCCTATTTTCGGAAACTGCCATTTCCCAAAGTTGTTTACCCTGCTTTCCAGACCAAACCTCCGGATGGAAGTGCCACACCAGCTGCCCAGCTACCAGGCATTCTCGGCTTTGCTGAAAATCAAACCCAAAGGCTCCATGTACCTGTATAGTAGATACTTAAGCCTTAAAGGGGTCCCTATATAGGTACTTTAAGGCCTAAGTATCTACTATAAGGGTACATGGAGCCTTTGGGAAACCTGGCACAGCAGTACGCATTCATTTTCTGGCACATCAACCAACCGCTCGGCCTGCTCGCCCCAGAATGTGCAGCGAACTCGCGTGCTGCCCTGCTGTCTTACCATTGGGGCCTTGATAATTAGAACGGTCCATTATACTGTAACTATAATGAGGAACCCCCAAAATATTCTTGGTAATTAATATATTAATTACCAAGAATATTTTGGGGGTTCATCATTAATTAAAAAGTCCCCCATATTATTAGGGCGTTGCGAACCATCGCCTTGCCGTTTGCGGTTCCGGCCCTCTCGACGACACCAGGATATCCGATAATCACCAACGCAACGCAAATATAGTATAGCATAGTATACTATAGGATAATTAATGTAGTGTAGTATATTCTATAATCTGCTGCGAGTCTTGCACTTTTGGAGTCTACTCCTCCCAACAAATTCGCTGCCATCGCAAATAATTCCAGTCCTCACCCCTCCGCGAATTGTGGTCTGCGAAGAGGCAGCGAACTGAGGGGACGCAACGGGTGGACGCCGCACGGAAGAATAGGCAGCTCGGTCAGCGTCTGCACGTTGACATCCAGACATGTAGCGGTGCTTGGCACTTGGCACACATCGATGTTGGCGGCTCACTAAACCCTAAACCCTAAACGGCAGAGTTTTGCTGAGATTCTGAGAGTTGTACTACGTTGTTCGCAGGCAAGCAGGTATTGGGCCTGGGCTACGTGTCAAACACCTGCCTTCATTTAAGAACTATTTCAAAACAAGATAATGCATGTAAGTAAAATAAACACATCAATAAACAGATATATGTATATATATATATGTATGTATATATATATATATATGTATATATATATATATGTACAAGTTGTTGAAGCTCTTCAAAACAAAACCGCGAATGCCCTCGTGCGAAAACGCCTGAACCCTGAAAAATCCAAATCATTTGAACCTTGTCAACTTGTACCTCAAAACGCCGCACATAACTCCCTGAAGAGCCCGTCTGGTGGCCCCTGTGGCAATCCGCCAAGCGCAACCACATAGGCCACATAGTCATGTTTCAAGGTACGAAAAACACAGCCTAAACCCTAAACAAGCCCACAACACACAGCCTAAACCCTGAACCCTAAAACCCTAAACCACGCCACAAACAGCCTAAACCCTTAACCCTAAAACCCCCAAACCCTAAACAAGCCCACAAAGACAGCCTAAACCCTAAACCCTAAAACCCTAAACCAGCCCACAAACACAGCCTAAACCCTAAACCTGAAAACCCCAAACCCTAAACAAGGCCACAAACACAGCCTAGACCCAAAACCGTAAAACCCTAAACCAGCCCACAAACACAGCCTAAACCCTAAATCCTAAACCCCCAACCCTAAACAAGCCGACAAACGAAGCCTAGACCCTAAACCGTAAAACCCTAAACCAGCCCACAAACACAGCCTAAACCCTAAACCCTCAAACCCTAAACAAGCCCACAAACGAAGCCTAAACCCTAAACCCTCAAACCCTAAACAAGCCCACAAACGAAGCCTAAACCCTAAACCCTCAAACCCTAAACAAGCCCACAAACGCAGCCTGATCGGAACCTGGCTGGTCGTCGGCTGCGAAGGTCAACGTCACACCCGTCTCGGGCTCGAATCGCCGCAGGGCCTTGTTGAAAGGCCTGAGGCCAGAGAACCCAATACTCCTTATTTAAGGAATACCTAGGGGCCGAGGGTTCCTTTAAGGGATCTATATGAGATCTATAGGCTTAGGGTTTAGGGGATTCTAATACTCCTTAATTAAGGAATATACCTTGAATTATAGAGATTTAAGGTATATTCCTTAATTAAGGGGGTATTGGGATCTCTGGGGAGGCCAGGACACCCTACTTTAAGCCTACCGATGCCTACACTTTTTGTAGGGTCCCTGTAAACTCCTTCTTAAGAGTTGCTACATTGATATACTCAGAACCTACGAAAAAAGTAGGGTTTGGTAGGTTCAGGTTATTAAACCCTGAACCCCCAACCTATACTGAACTTAGAACCCTAGCAAAAATTGTAATTTTAGCTGTTTCTTAGGGATTATAATAACCAAAAATTAAAAATTATTTCTAAGTACCCCTAAGCAACCCTAGGATCCCAGCAAGGGCTCCTAAAGCGCGCCGGGGTTCGAGGTCTCGGGATTTAGGGTTCCCAGAGCTTCCAATACCCCTTAGTTTAGGAATATGCCTTAAGTTATAGTAGGATCCCTTATATGATTTAAGGTATATTCCTTAATTAAGGGGTTTTGGAGGCTCTGGGTTCAGCGCTTCAGGGCGTAGGCCCTGCGCGTAGGCTGCCAAGCTGCCTGATTCAGGAAACCCCTGAAACCCCCGTCTAAACCCTAAATGCTGTTTCAGGGCTTTGGTGCTTTTGGGTGCAAAGTTGTAGAAATTGAGCCAGGAAGACTTCAGGGTTTGGGTTTCGCTTTCCGGAGTGTCTGCACTTTTGCGGCTTGCATCACAGCCGCGAACTCGAGTGGTTCGGAGGGGTCGTTCTGGTAGCTCTGCTGCAGCTCGGCTGGAAGCTGCGACACGAAGTCCGGGAACTTCTGGAGGAGCACCGCTGGCGAGACCCCCTCCCTCTCCTTGTGGAGCTTTTTCTTGAGCTTCGTCACCCGATCGTAAAACTCGGCGTGATCGCCGGCCGGCATGCCGGCCGCAACGGGCCGCACCAAGCCCTCCGGGACAATATTATGTGGGAGTTTCCGAAAATTAGGGGTACCTAATTGGGGGTCCTTATAATAAGGATCCTACTATTTGGGGTACTAGATTAGGGTCCCCCTATTTTCGGAAACTCCCATATGCAACTGGCCACGTGGCGCCCTGGGCCCCCGTGATGGGCTGACTGTGAATCTCATCGGGGAGTCTCAAAGACTCCGTGTGCTCCTGATCCGGAGAAATATGGGAGTTTCCGAAAATAGGGACCCTAATATGGTACCCTAAATAGTAGGATCCTTATTATGAGGACCCCCAAAATAAGGTACCCCTATTTTCGGAAACTCCCATATCGACCTCTAGCACGCACGGATACGATCAACCCTCAACCCCTAAACCGTGTTAGGGTTCGTTGCAGGGTTTAGGGCTTTAGGCTTTTGACCCAAAACTTCAAGCCCTAAACCCTAAACCCTAAACCCTAAACTCTAAACCGCTAAACCCAATCCCTTAAGCCCAACACCCGAACCCCACATCCCCAATCCTGAACCCAGCCTGTGGCCCCTTTTTAGGCTTCCTTTCTGCGGCTTCTGCATTTCAGAATTTCATTCCTGAAAACAACGCAGGTTTGTTGGGCCATATAGGTAAGCCACACCTGAAATCGCGACACAACCGTCATAGGGACCCTTAGGGAGGTAAGGGGGAGGAAAGAAGGGACTATATTTCCTTAAGTATGCCTTATGAAGCCCTTATTATTCGCACTAAGGCCCCCTACCCCCCCTCCCCCTCCCTCCCTAAACCCTAAACCATAAACCCTACCCCCCCTCCCCCTACCCCTTATAAGGGTCCCTATGAAACCTGGGCCTCGAAACCAGCCTTGCGCAAGTCTCGGGCAGGTAAAGCCGAGCCTGCAAGAAGCGGTTCTCGAGGACTTGGCCATGTCGGGTTCTTGGGCTTAGGGTTTTAGGTTTTGAGTGTGATTTACAGGGTTTGGGGCTTTGTAGTGACCTCCAGACAGCTGGAACATGATGTTTAGTGTGGGGATTTCCTATGCTTTGCCTCAAGGGTAAGTGGATAGTGATGTTCCAACTTTCTGCCGTCTACTCTAGGTTTGTAAGTGTTAATTACTGGATTTTGGGGTTTTATAGTGAATCCCAGAAAGATGGAACATGAGGTTTAGGAGGATTATAGTGCTGGGATCCCTTATGCTTTACCTTAAGGGCATGAAGATGATGATGTTCCAACCTTCCGGCTTCGACTGTGACCTAGCAAACCCTGCTTTGTTTGAAGGTTCTGAATTAGTAGAAGCCCTAATATGGAATTTATTGTGACCGCAAAGAAGCAGGTTTTGGTAGGTTACGGTAGGGTTTAGGGAGGCTAGGGAATAGAGTTTTACGCTATAGGTTTTAGTGTGTTGTTGTTTCTACGCAACCTCGTTCAGTGTTCTGCACTGGTATTACAGTAGAAACGTGCTGTAAGCGTTCCGTAAGCACCCTGAACATGTCATTTTTTTACGGCTTACCTTAACCCCAAACATCTTACCTTTCTAAGGACTCGTATAAGGAAATCATATCATTAAGGAACCTGAAAAAGCTAGGTTTCCTAGGGTCCAGGTAGGTGCTTCAGTCCAATGGGGCTTGTGGTTCAGGCTTCGAAGCTTTACGTCTTGAGGCTTGAGGGTTCAGGGTTTTGGTTTAAGCTGTAATTTCTCGCTGCAGGGCTAAAGGTTGTATATTGGTTTCACGTGGTGCTAGGGAATTTCGCTGGGTTTTCACGAAATTGAACTACGGGGTTTTTCATGAGGCAATTTAGGGTTAGAAGCCTTCATGATGTTATGTAGAGCTTGTTCTTTAAATGTTGGACATGCCATTGTGACAATACGCGTAGTAAGAGTCCCAGGAAGAGGAGAACCATTGTTTGATGCCCCTGATAGGTGCCATTTATTGGTCCCTATCACACTATAGCTGTAGAGGCGCCACACAGGGATACGACTACCAACCACTCAGACCGCTTCATCCAGCAGCCGAGTGTCTCAACCCCACCTGTTTGCAACCTAAGCCTGAAACCTTGGAACCACCGAAGCTACCGAGGGCGCCGTCTCTGGCGCGCAGATCTCGATTGATGCTATGCATGCAGCTTGCTGCAGCGGGTTCACGCAGTCAACCATGGCGCACGTGGACTTTGCACATTGCCTTGCTCCTTCAACTCGAAAAGAACACTCAAGCCTGAACCGAACCTGCAAAGGGCCTGCAGACTTAAACTCCGCCTATGTCATACCCCGCCCCGTTTTTCGAGTACCTGGCTGCATGGCTCGGATCTATATTAAATATCGAAAGGGAGCGACCCCAAGAATGGTAAAGCATGACGGGTTTAGGGTCTAGGCTTTAGAGTGTATCAGTTTGGGGCTTAGGCTTCAGTGTCCTTTCCTTACCCTAAACCCCAAACCCTCATTCCTACCATGAGGGGTCCTGAATCCCACCTATCTTCATCCCACCTTGTGAGGCCCCTGATCATAAGGCTCAAGGTTTCCCTGCTACCTTTGAGCCAGCGGTTTGCGGGGCGAGAAACCTGGATCAGAGCCTTGGGTTTAGGGTTGCTCAAGATTTTTTAAATGGCCCTTTGACAGAGCCCCTATGGCCCTTAATAGTGGGTATTTACGGTTTGTTAGAGGCCAGTTGGGGGGTCTAAGTTGGGCTTAAGGATTGGGTTTTGGGGTTTAGGGTGTAGGGGTTTCGGTTTTGGGTTTTAGGCAGTCAGCTCGGCCTAAATCGATCCTGAACCGGAAACCCTCAACCCTAAACCTAAACTCAACACCCTGCATTCTCAGCCCTGCTAAACCGTACAGTACGTACAACGGAAACCCAAGGCCCTAAACCCTATATACACAAAACCCAAAAAACTCAAACCCCTAAATCTTCAGTTCGAAAAGGAAAAACGACAGCACACTTCATATGGTTTAGGGTTTCTAAGATTGTAAAATTTCAAGCATGTTGTCTTCCTTCACGGGTTCTTTCTAGAAGTTTCCAAACAAGGACCTTAACAAGCCTGAATATTTCTGAATAGGGCGTTAAGGCACAGTAGAAAATAGATACACAAAGAAGACAAGGGAACGCTGCTACGACTTAGTCTTCGGACCCCTATCCTGGGATTTAGAGCCCTCAGCCCTAAACCCTAACAACCCGGAGGGATAGATGTTGCGGCCAACATGAGGTACTGGACAAGGCTGCGGACCCTCAGCGCCCTGGGATTGCAAGAAGCAGGTGCTGATGCGTATACACCGGCTGGTTTGGCTCCACGTTTATCTGCACGCGGGAGAGAGGGTAGCCGCATCCATGAAGTGCAGCCAGGGCATTAGGGAGCCCGGTTCCATCACCCATCGATCCGAAGCCCACTGAATGGGGGCCACCGGAACAGAGAACCCGGAGTGGTGTGTCATGCCCTGGGGCGAAGCTCAATGCAAGAAAACCTGGCATCATTCACTGGCATGTTGCTGCGCCCGGTTCCCAGCGTTATGGCGACCCTGCTTCGGAATCGGGGATTGCAGGGGGTCGGCAGGGCCACCGAATGAATGGAGAGTTTAGCGGCTGCGGGTTCAGGAGATTAGACTTAATTATATCCACTTGAGATCCACACTCACATGCAACCCCTTTGCCCCACAAGCCCTGAACCGTGGCCTACAAACTCCGTAAACTACGTCCTGCTTTCATGACAAGCCGAAAATCCAGCGAATGCTTTAAACTCAACCCTAAACCCTAAACCCCTAAACCCTAAACCCTGAACTTCTAAACCCTGCGGCACCTAGAGTCGTAACCCCTACTGCAAGCAATACCCTAACCTACCAAAACCTACTTCTTTGTAGGGTCCCTATAAGTTCCATATTAGGCTTTATAATAAGAACCTACAACAAGGTAGGGTTTGGTAGGTTAAGGTAAGCTCCGCGGTTCAGGTCTAAAAACCCAGCCCTAAATCTGCAGTGTTAGACAATGAGGTACCCTACAATACGCCTCCCAAGCCAGTCTTATCCTGATTCTCATTATTGTTGGTGTTATTCTGGTTATTCTTATTACTACCATTAGCAGTATTCTGCATAAACCGATACTTATAAGACAACATTGGTTTCGTGAAACCCTATAAGACTGGCTGTAAACCACAGAAACACCGATACGAGATAAACCGATTGCAGAACGCTGTGAAAGCCAGCTTTCACCCTGCAACAACCATGACCATGCCGAATAGAAGCCCGCGAAACACCAGGTATAAGAACCGATTGAACCCCGACGGAGACCCTGTATAACCCCATCACATACTAAGCAAGCCCAAGTAAAACCCGTGAACATACTAATAACCGAGTACTATTGGGCGCCCTACCGGTGAGTCTCGGGATCTAACCGCAACACGGCCTCCACGGTTTGGAGACTTGGGGGTGTAGGGCTTCGGGTTTAAGGAGTTAACGAGCACAATGAAGGTGAAAGCCCTCAGAACCGCCACATGCCAAAATGGGTGGAGCTCCGCTTTCAGCTTAGGCTGGTCAAGGTCTCAAACGACTCCCCTCCAAACCCTTCACAAAATATTCTCAGCAGCTTCAAACCGAAAGCCCCAAATCTGCGAATCCAAACTCGAGGTTCAATTTTCGGATGATGGTGCTGTCATTGTCGTAACATGAGCTGTGGTGACCTGAAACAAACACGGATGGTCACGACATTGACGATGGGCATCATGAAGATGACGATGACGAAAGTACATACGAAGCGCTGACGAAACAGGATGATGGCGATGTCTCTGTGATTGCTGCGCTTGGTGTTGGTGAGGATGCTGAAGAAGGTGACGATGAAGAAGATGCAGGTGGTGATAAATGGCGCTGCTGCGCCTGCTGCTGATGACCAACCCGATGGCAACGAGTTTGATGGACATGACTTGGGTACTGCCCCCATACAATAACAGTCTATAATAGGGCTACTATTAAGGGCCCAATATATCTATATTATGAATAGTATCCAACTGATACTAAGAGGGGGCAGTACACAAATGACACGCATGATGGGTCTTTTTCTTATGCAGTACTCACGGCCTTCAGCTTGTCTGTAACGATAAAGAGCACAGCCGATACAATGACATTGACATTAACGAGACTGCTAACCATCATGGCATGGGCGAATGGCTCTTCAGCTGAACAGCTCTTACCAACACAAAAATCTCTCAACCACTGCTGCTGCTGCTCCTACAACTCGTGATCCTCTTCCTCCTCCTCTTCCCCCTGCTCCTCCTGCAGTACTACCACTACAACTACTACTACTCCTCCTACTACTACTGCTGCTGCTACTACTACTACTACTGGTGCTGCTGCTGCTACTACTACTACTACTACTACTACTACTACTACTACTACTAATACTACTAGGGAACGACCTGGTCGTTTGCCCACCCTTCTTTCCTCCTGTACCCCCTTGCCCGCCCAGGTTCGTCTTCCTCGTGGCCATGGTGTCATGCATACATGTAACCGACGTACATACGTACATGACATACATGCATTTGTACATGTATACCTACATGCATTCATGCACACGTGCATACATGCATTTTCGCATGTATAACGTCCAGATCAGACCCCATCCATGCCCGCAGAGCATCCATGTGCCAACCATGATCACGTCCAGATCAGACCCCATCCATGCCCGCAGAGCATCCATGTGCCAACCATGCCCCATCCATGCCCGCAGAGCATCCATGTGCCAACCATGATAACGTCCAGACCAGACCATATCCATGCCCGCAGAGCATCCATGTGCCAACCATGATAACGTCCAGATCAGACCCCATCCATGCCCGCAGAGCATCCATGTGCCAACCATGATAACGTCCAGATCAGACCCCATGCCCGCAGAGCATCCATGTGCCAACCATGATAACGTCCAGATCAGACCCCATCCATGCCCGCAGAGCATCCATGTGCCAACCATGATAACGTCCAGATCAGACTCCATCACTTCCCGCAGAGCATCCATGTGCCAACCATGATAACGTCCAGATCAGACTCCATCCATGCCCGCAGAGCATCCATGTGCCAACCATGATAACGTCCAGATCAGACTCCATCCATGCCCGCAGAGCATCCATGTGCCAACCATGATAACGTCCAGATCAGACCCCATTCATGCCTGCGGAGCATCGATGTGCCAACGCTTGTCAGCTGTGTTCCTGACTGAGAACGTCGGCCTCGAACCCGTCGTGCAGGCTTTCACTTCTTTCCGCGCGGCCTGTCAGGATCGCCTGCCGCCGAAAGACCAATGGTCCCAGACAATTTTTTTGACCTTGGGTTGAAGACACAGCTAAGCGTGTGTGTGTCAGCGGGCGTGAAAGCGAACCAAGCACTAATCTTCCAATCTTGTTTCGACTAGTCCCAAAAACACGTAAAACGACAAAGTCCGCGACGAACTTGGAAGGCAGTGCAAAGCGCTTTCTTGAAGGAGAGTCACAGGGCTCCGACAGCAGAAAACACTGCCCCGGCCGAGGTTTTCGTGTCCTCACTCTTAAGCCTGCCCTCAGCCTTCCATCTTTGGCAGCACACAAAGCCTGCTCCAAATTTTCCAATTCCGATGTCATTTGCGACACCTTTGCAGACGCCATATCTCTCGTAAATACCGACTAAAGACAAGCAAACGCAAGAACAACGGTGGGCAAACGATGTGCCCTGTGCCTACTACTACTACTACTACTACTACTACTACTACTACTACTACTACTACTACTACTACTACTACTACTACTACTACTACTACTACTACTACTACTACACCTACTACTACTACTACTACTACTACTACTACTACTACTACTACTACTACTACTACTACTACTACTACTACTACTACTACTTACCACTACTACTACTACTACTACTACTACTACTACTACTACTACTACTACTACTACTACTACTACTACTACTACTACTACTACTACTACTACTACTACTACTAATTACTACTACTACTACTACTACTACTACTACTACTACTACTACTACTACTACTACTACTACTACTACTACTACTACTACTACTACTACTACTGCTACTGCTACTGCTACTGCTACCGCGACTGAGACTGCTGCTAATTTATTGCTACTACGACTGCCCTGCCGCTACTTCTACTGCTACCACGACTGCTACTTACACCTACAGCTATGGCTACTGCAACTGGTACTTCAACTACGGCTACTGTTGCTGCGGCAATCAATACTTCAATATTTCAATCCGCAAAGACGAGCACGAATATGACTATGGCGATGCAGAGGCAAGTGGCGATGACATAATTGCGTGATGGTGTTCATTTTTAGGGGTTTTTTGCGTTTAGCAACTTCGATGCTGGCGATATCAGCGCAACAGCTCGTAGTCCTCTCAGGTCTTAGCCTGAAGCCTCGGCATGCCTTACCGAAACGACCGTCAACCCCAATGGCCTGAACACGACGAAAACACCCTCATTCATTCCCTCAGCACTCAAAACACACGAAGCGATCTCCGGCCGCGAACCCAAACGCCCAAAAAGCCCAGAGACTCCAAAACCCCTTAATTGAGGAATATAACTTAAATCACAATAGGACCCCCTACTAATAAGATTCAAAACACATTCCTGAATTCCCGTATAGAACCGATATAGATCCCTTTAAGGAACCCTTAGGTATATTCCTTAACTAAGGGGTTTTGGAGTCTCTGGGAGCCGAAACGCTGAACCCGGGACGGCCTGCTTGGTCGACTGCTCAGCCCCACTGTGATATGTATATGCGAAGGCCTCAAGACGATGGGGATACAAAACGTAGAAGTTTTGGAGACGATGGGGATACATTGCCCCCATACACTAAGAGTCTATAATAGGGCTACTATTAAGGTCCTAATATATCTGTATTATGGATACTATTCAACTATTACTGAGTGGGGGCCGTACCCAAGGGAGACAAAACGTAGAGGTTTTGGGGTCTCGGGTGCAGGGCTTACGGGTTGCCGCCACTTACACCCCAGAATACGGACATGTAGATTCAACCCGAAACCGTATAAATTAAGCATCTAGCCTTGAACCATGAACCCGAACCTAAATAAATGAACACCTCCACCCAACACCCTGCATTCCGACATATAAGTCCTTTAGAAGGGTTCGACACAGATTGACTGTACGCGAGCTAACTGTTTGCGTAGAGTAGGGGCGTTGGGAGGTTTGGGTTGCAATCATATTAGAAACTACACCTTAACCCACCAAACCCTACTTTTTGTAGGTTCTTATAATAAACCCTAATATGGAATAGATAGGGACCCTACTTTTTTGTAGGTTTTGTTGGGTTAAGGCAAGGGGAACAGCAGCAGCAGAAATGAAAGGGCTCCTGTACCAACAGTAGCAATAGCGCGCACGAAGAAGTACTTGTTTCTGATCATCAGAGCCGCAAAATGCACCGCAGTAACAACAATACGAACACATAAGTCTGAAGGAAAGTGGGGGGTGGGCCGGGGCGAGGATTACTAAGAACAAGAAGCCTTGGCAGTTGCATGCTGTCATGATCCCTCCTGTAGTCACTATAGCTCCATTGTTCTTCCGTTTTGGGGTTACCTCATAATGATAGGATCCTAACTATAGAACTGGTTAGACCCCCCCAAAAGGAGCTACAATGGAGACTATAGGTAGCCTCAAACCCTTCACCCCAAACCGTCCCCGACTCTCAATCCGAACTCCGAAAACCTACCTACAGGGTCATGCCCTACACATTCCAACCATAAAGTCAGGTACCCGATGGGTAGGGTATGTCCCTCTAGGTAGGGTACCCTTATCGAACCCCTTAAAGGGAAGCCTAGTATAGATGCCTATAGCACCCAAAAGGGAACCCTACAATAACCTGAACTCGCAGGAAGTCGGCGGAGTCATGAACATGTCGAGACCCAGGACCCACCCTTCAGCACCTAATGGACTGAGGGTTTAAGGCTTCGGGGTTTCCGGTTTAGGGGTTTAGGGTCTAGGGCTTAGGAGTTTAGGATTTACCGAAACAGCGCTAGGTCTCGGGGTCTGTTCTTGTCCCGGGCCATCTTCCATCCAGAGTGGAGGGTCTAGGGCCTAACGAACATTGTCACCAAAAGAGCATAGCTTTCCTGCAACCTGATACCCCTCAACCCTAAGCAGAAGGTTTTGCACCACGTGATGTCGCTCGCTTGTGAAGGCAGCGCTGAAGCCGCTTTTCGGCCAGACACTTCGAGGCAGCGAAACAGTCAGGGCCGAGGGTCTGGGGTTTAGTGTTTAGGGTTTTAGGGTTTAGGGCTTGGGGCCTACGTTTAGGGTTTCGATACATGGAAGTTGCTGTCTAAGCCCACAGGCAGAATAACAAAGTTGAAGGTGCAGGTCTTGATTGCCGGCGATGACAAAGGCCAGGCTTTTGAGGCGAATTTGAAGACTCCTTTTTTAAGGTTTATGGCGGAATTGGCATTTAATTTACCCATAGGCTCCATAATTAGTTCCTTTTGGGGATTGCCTTTTCGGATTCTCGATATGAACCCCCCCAAGGGAACTTCTTTGGAGCCTATGGGTAAGGGCTTCTGGGACAAGTTGACGTAGTGACGAGACAACGTGCGTCCGCGTTGCGAACGAGCGGGCTTCCCGAGCCCTATGCCGTAAGCCACAAGCAGAGGTCTGTTTGAAATCTGCCGTGATCAACTAAGATCCCTTTATCAGGAACCTCAGACCACAACAGGGTAAACAGGGCCCCATGAAAGACACGGTCAAGGGTCACCACTTAAAGCCTCCGTGAGTCAGGAAGGACTTTGCAAAGATGTTCTTGATCTGGTTCTTGGCCTGCCCTTGGAAATGGTAGTTGCGAAACGTCACCTGAGGGCACCGTGCTCGAGGTTTTAGGCTTTGGGCTTTAGGAAAGTCAGGGCTTCGGGCACGAGGGTCTTCGTGTATGACAAATAGTCATAGAAGCCTTAATCGTCAGACATGGCCTTTAAATGCCTTTGGGTTATGTCATATTGCATATAGTTACAAACTGAGGAATGCTATTTAATAGCAAGTCGACATATTGAGGCCCCTGCAGTATGACCCAGGACCCTAAACCCTGGCTTCCGAAGTTTGCGGGCGAAGCTGTAGGGGACCACCTACACTCTAAACTCTGAACCGTATGCTTGGGGAAACCTGCGGAATAGCACCGGTAACTATTCAAGAGGCCTGTATATTGGGATTGTCTACCGTTCTGCTTTCATGGGTTGAGAGCTCGGTTCCATACCTGACCTACCAAAACCTACTTTTTTGTAGGGTCCCTATACATTCCAAGTCAGGGTTGACACAAAGAACACACAAAACAGTAGGTTTTGGTGGGTTTAAAGTATATCAAAAGTTGATGGTTGTGAAATACGGGCTCTGCAGTCTTTGGGGTATCTAAACATCGGGTTCAGGGGTTAAGGGTTTCGCTTTGAGCTCCGGAGAGTCACGGTCCCGTTGAGCTGCGCAATCATCTGGCTGCCACTGTAAGTTGTCCTGGGGAAGAACTTCAGACTTAAACCGCGGGAGCGCAGGCTAGCGGTCTCTATTCAGACACCACAAACCCTAAACTCTATAAACCCTACACCCTGACTTGCATGAATCTCTGCAGGCCTCTGGAGCCAGAAAACTATGAGTTTACTCAGAGGATCCCTAGGTAAGTAGCTGATAAGCAGGTTAAGATTTTAAGAAATTGGAAGCCTGATTGCCCCAAACCCAAAACCGTATACCAGGACCAGGACCCCAAACACCCACTCTTAACGACCACGCTTGTTTTATGAATGAAAGAGTACTTGGGGCGTGCTGGTACTTGTATTCCTCGACGCAAGGCTCTGTGTGTGTGTCTGTGCGTGTTAAGGGTTCTGGGGCCAAGGTTCTTCTTGGTTTAGACTTTCGGGGAGATTCTATGTCAAAGTAGAAATCAAAACGGCGGGATGCAGAAATGGCATGACGGGCTACTAAGGCTCCGACTGTCTATCTTCTTGGTCGCTTAGGGTCCGACAAGCTACTCAAAACCCTACCACCTAAAGCCGAAAGAGCCCCAAAAAGCCCTAAGCCTCGAACGGAGAACCCAAAAGCCCTAAGGCCCTAGGGTTTAGGGCCCTAGGGTAAAGGGTTTAAGGCCCTAGGGTTTTAATCCCGAAATCCCGAAACCGAAAGTCCCGAGACCGCCACAGCTGAATGCTCCCAAACCCCAGGCATGTAACATCACCAAACACAAAAAGAAGGTTTAAAGGAGAAGCCAAAAAGTTGGAAACCCCATAGCCTCAATCCTTAAGACTTAAGAGTAATGTATAGGAAATCCCAGCACCATTTGGCCTTAACCCGGATTCCAACTTTATGGGGTTTATTGTAGAGGTTTACGATTTATGATTTTCGGAGGGGCTGAGGAAGAAGCGGTTTTTAGGGGTTTGGGGTTTCGGGATATCACGAAGCCCAGAAGACTTCGGAACCCTATCTAGAGTCTCCATTGCAGCTGCTTTTTGGAATTTTAGCCCATTTTGTAATTGTCAGGACCCTTTAAAACTTTAGTATCCCAACAAAGGGACTCAGTGGAGTTTTTGGGCACAACCTTAATAACCCTACGACTTTGCCAGGTGTCGTCAACTTTCCCTCCACGCTTGCGCTGCGATACAAGGCCGGGATGTACCCGTGCGCACTATCGATGACATAACCATCTCTGGCCCAATAGCCTCGGCTCAAGATTAGGGTTCAGGGCCTAGGCGTCGGAGAACTACAAGGTTAAGGTTTAGGGCTTCGGGTTTGGGGTCTAGGGTACGTCGGGCTTAGGGTTTAGACGTTTAGAGTTTCAGGTTTAGGATTGATGAATGGTTTAGGAGTTCAGGGATTTGGGTTTTACGCTCGAGCTTTCCGGGTTTCTTCACAAAAGCAGAACGTGGAAGGACGTGATGACGAATGCTGAATTTGCGGCTGAGGGTTTTTGTCGGCATAGAGCCTTTTTCCAGGGTAAGTATACAGTGTACTTACAAGGATTACTGGGAACTGTAGGTTCCTTTAGGGTTTAGGGTTTAGGGGTTTAGGGTTGGTCTTAGGTACAGTATCTTCAAGGTTAAAGCGTATTCCTAGACCCACAACCCCCAAACGCCCCCAAACCTATGAACCCCTAAATCTCGAAATTTAACAAACCCTAAACCCCGAAAACCCTAAACCCCTCAACCTTTCCTGAACCCCTAAAAACCCTAACACCGAAACCCCCAAACCCCTAAACCTCCCAAACCCATGAAGCCCTGAACCCCTGAATTGCATAAAGACCCTAATCCCGAAACCCCTAAACTCCTAAACCCGTTCTTTCTCTTTCGCCTTCGCCCCGTTGTGGGCCGCCGAGCGGCCGTTGCAGAGACGGTAGCGCTTGGTGGCCGGCAGCGTTGCCTCGGCTCTGCTTTGATTGTAGTATCCTTAAGGGAGGGGGGTCCAAGGGGGGTATATAGCCTAGTGATCCCTAGTTCTCCCTAGTACTCCCTAAGGTTCCCTTACAGTCCCCTAAGGATTCCTTTTACCCTCCCCCCTTGAACCACCCTCCCTTAAGGATCCTATAATTTGATCCCTTCAGGGCTTTGGGTTTGGATGTCGGGTCGAAGTTCAATATTATAGGACTTTTGTGGATTTTTTTGGGTACCAAAAGCCATAAATAAGGACTACTTGGACCCTAAGGGAAACAAAGCCCCGTGTTTTTGTACCAAACAGACTTCACTTTGGGAGTTTAGTACAAACAGACACTACAATGTACAAGTAAGCTGCACTTAAACTGCGAAGGAACTTCTCTATGCTATGTAGACTATACAGAAATCCAAAAGAGTTTTTTGGATACTATATCATTCAGATGTTTATACTAAAGCTGGCAAACCATCAAAAATGAGCAACTAGACCTAAGAGTAACCTAGGAATAAAAAGGGTGCCCTTTTTGGTTTAAAGGGGTTTATAAGGGAACCTGAACCCTCAAAAAAGGGAACAAGGGCCTACTCTGGGTCCTAGGCAAGAAGTCCGGAGCAGCCTGGATGCGTTGGGGTAGGGGAGTTCGCGACCATCATACTTCATCATCCACATGTGTTCCCTGGCAGCTCTGGGGTTTAGGGTTTAGGGGACTAGGGGTTTAGGGGTTTAGGGTCTAGGGGTTTAGGGGTTTAGGGGTTTAGGGATCTAGGGGTTTAGGGGTTTAGGGTCTATAGGGTTTAGGGGTTCAGGGGTTTAGGGTCTAGGGGTTTAGGGTTTAAGGTTATCTATAGAGATTCTATAAGGGTATAGGGTTTAGGGCTTACCTTACTTGGAGGTTCATGGGGAGTTATAAGGGTTCCTTTTAAGGGTCCCTTGAAAGGGATCTATAGGGAATCTATAAGGGTATAGGGTTTGGGGTCTACTTGGAGGTTCATGGGAGTTATAAGTGAGGTTTTGAGTAGGGCAACTATAATTATAACTCATGTTAGAGGACTTGTAACCCCACTTTCAATTACCCATGCACCTCCAAGTAACACCCAATAGCCTACTTTGTTGACGACTTGTAATTATAAGGAAATCATAGTAGGGAACGAGGGTTTTATGGGGTCCAGGTAGGGCTGAGGAGTTCAACGGTTGACGAATTTCGTTCTTAGATCAGGTCCCTCAGCAGCCCCTGAATAACAAGGATACTATAGGGTCCCTTTTCCCCACTATCCAAGTTCGAGAGAAAGACGCCAACATGAACAGGCGAAAAGGCTACTACTCGGAGACTTAGTAGATTAAGGCTTTACGGAGCTTTGTGCTCAGGGGTTTGTGACGTAGGATGAAGGAGAATGCTTTTTTGTTAAAGCTTGAGACCTGCAACGACACCAAGATAAATGATGGGAAAGCGCAGAGATATAAAACACTGCAGCCTGAAAGCTTGGTACATAGGAAGCACACACTGAAGTGGAAGCACGGATAAAAAAGAGCACCGATGTGAACTGAAGCCGAAACCACGAAGCGTGTTTGAAGGAATCTGCCTGTTGAGTTTGAGGCGTAATTATGGGTTTTCCCAGCTTAGCTGCTTCCTAGTAGTGCTGGAGCACGGATAAATTGCTCGGTCCTGCTAATTACTTTACTTTCATAGCTGGGTTGTAGTTTTGGGGCTCTGAAAAGTATTTATGAATAGGTACCTCTATAGGAACCATAAGGGAAATTAAAAAGTCTCCCAAATTGCCACCTAGATAGAAAGATCCTGAAGTCACACAGCGCGTCACGCCCTCATCTTCGACTCCATGGGCGCAGTCTTCTGATCATCTCACGAGGCCCCAAACCGATAACAAAAAACTAAGTTGCGGGGGTCGGGCTCCAGATCAAAACGCCAGTAGGGAAGACGGATTGCTCAGTGAGGTTCTCATATTTGCCGCCACTAAGACTAAACAACTCAAAACCCCAAACCTTAAACCCTAAACCTGAAAGCCATGACCCTAAACCCATAACCTGAAACACCCGCCTTGTCCAATTGGGGTGGCGACGGACATACTGAAGATACCAGGGCTCCCCATCCTCTGCAAAAGCCCGGAACCCGTCGGCTTTGAGTTGGGGTTGGGGGTTCAAGACTTTGACCCAGAGGGTCCAAGTACCCAAATAGTAGGGTTTCAGGTCCCACAATCCATACTCTGAATGGTTTTTGGACCTTGAAACCCTGCTATTTGGGTACTTGGACCCTTAGGGTGAGTTTAGAGTGTAGGATGCAGGAATTTACTCGAAATTTGGAATGAGGGTCCAGGAATTTAGTCGGGTGTGGGTTTAGGGCACGGCTTGCGATAGGCATGCACCCTGCACCGGTAAAGCACTAAACATTAGTTCCCCAAACCCCCAGCCCGAAACCCCGAGCACTGTCGAACTGTGGCCTAATCGGCCAGAGTAGTAAATGACTGCCTTCAGCCCCAAACGCTAAACTGTAGACCAAACTCAGAAACCTGTTGAGACCTCGAGCAATCGAATACAATAAACCCGGAAACCCTGAACGCCAGTAAAACCTCTAGAACTGTGGCACAAGCGTCTAAAATCCTAAACTCTAGACCCTAACCCCAAATTCTAAGCCTTTACCCTAAACCCGAAGCCTTAGAGCCCTAAAGGCTAGATTTGCGGGCACAAGTGTCTGACCACGGCATACCTTCGAAGTCCAGGCTGCCCATCGCATAGAACTCAGTGGGCTCCAAAGGTATACCCAGAGAGCCCAATACCCCTTAACTAAGGAATATGGCTTTAATTATATAGGGCTTCATATTATGATTTAAGCCATATTCCTTAATCAAGGGGTATTGGGCTCTCCGGGTACGCGGGATCCGTTTAGGGTTTTCTCATTCAGGGTTTAGAGTCTCTAGGGTTTCGGGTTTAGGGTTTTCTTAAGTATTTAGGGCTTAGAGTTTCTAGGGTTTAGGGCTATAGGGTTTAGAGTTTCTAGGGTTTAGGGTTTAGAGTCTCCATGGTTTCTGGGGTTTAGGGTTTAGAGTGTCTGGGGTTGGGGGGATCTCGGCTTAAAGGGTTTAGCGCTTGGGGGTAATCCCCAACAATGGCAAAAAGAGTCCTCATACAAGTTGTGGGTATTGGGTAAATTGATAACGAATCTAACAACACATAAAACAAAAGGGCCCACTGGGAGACGTATAGTACTTAATTCTAACTACTTTTGTTCGACCTCACGGCATTGGGCTTAGGGTCTAGGGTGTAAGGGTTTCGGTTTAGAGTTTGGGGTTCCGTAACTCCTAAACCCTAAACCTGGTGAGGCGTCGTTTTGGAACTCGGCAAGACGAAACTGCAAAACCCCCTGAACTCCGAAGCCCGCAACGCCCCAAGGACACATAAAGTCAACACGCCTTAGGTTTTTCAACAATGTAGGGTTGAGCGCTCAGGGTTAAGGCTTGAAGTTTAGGGAAGCACTGGACCACACATACTCATACTCCAAAGCTAGGCGAATGTCCGTACCTTTGTAATTTTCGAGACGGCAACTACTGCAATGGGAATTCGAGCTTAAAGCCGCGATCCGATCCCTAACGGTGCTCACGGAGCGGGAGAAGCCTGAAGAGCTAGGATACCCAGTAACCTAAGAAAAAAAAGGCCTCTCTTTTTGGTATTGGGTAACTTTATAAGGAACCTAGGACTACAAAAAGGGAATAAGGGTACTACTGGGCATCCTAGAGAGGGTTTGCCAGCTTCTTCAGCCCTTCTCGGATATTCAATTCAGGCCTGTGATCCTGTCTTCAGGACGTAGGAGGTTCTGCTTTCTGACTAGCTTCTGACTAGCCTAACCAGTGGTTTTGGGGGTTCCCTTGGCTCTTTAGCTCCTTATTGAATAGGGATTATCATCATCCCTGGCTCCTTAGCTCCCCCAATATCAGTGCTTAGATTCTGCTTTAAAGCTACTCCTCGGGGTCCGGTGCAGGATTTATGAAGGGCGTTGGCCGTTCGTTCATGGCCTGATTCCGATCGTCCCAGCACGAGCCAAATGAACATCAACTTAAAGAGAGAGACAGAGGGATAGGGACAGAGAGAGAGAGAGGGAGAGCGAGAGAGAGAGAGAGAGAGACAGAGCGAGGGAGGGAGGGAGGGAGGGAGGGAGTTAGGGAGAGAGAGGAAGGGGGAGAGACATGTAGCCGAGCAACATACCAGGTATGCATCTGATTGATTGCGTGGACGATGGAAAATCGCCCGACGGCCCGCTGAATCCAGAAGTGATCGCGATACAGTTCTATGTTGAAATCAGTCCAGTCGTTCATGATGTCGAGGCTCAGCACACCGCCTTAAGTTGCAAGCTCGGGCGTAGGGATACTCTAAACCCTGTATCCCTTATAGTAGCCCCTATCGACCTCTTTAAAGGGACCCTACATTAAACCCTAAAGAACGGCCCCCCTAAGGATCGGGAGCTCGAAACCGTCCCTAAATCCTAAGCCCCTAAGCCCTAAACCCTAAACCCGAAACCAGCAGGCCGCCAGGTAAATCAGTGATCCAACAAGCCGTTGCCTATGGTTTCAAGGAGAGCTCTTGTGTTGCCTCCTGGAACTCAGGCTTCGGGCTAAGGGTTGTTCCATCTTAGCTTCCTGATAACGATGCAGATGCTATGGCCTATATGCCTTAGTTTTAGTGAGTATACTATTTCGTGAACAATGCAGAGAATGACATAAGAAAAAGAAGAGCTCAAAGCGCGGACCATTCCATCATCCAGCGTGGTTCATCTTTCACACTAGAACAAATGATACGAAACAAGAACAAGCACCTCCAAGAGCCCTGACCTTGCAGCAACCGTCATAGCTTTCATCCAAGAACAGGCCGAGATGCCCATCGAAGCCAAAGCACAGTATTGGAAAGGACCCCAGGGTTTGTTTCTGTCCAACTTGTCGCGCCAGGCGATTTCCCCGTCACAGCCCTTTGGGAGAAATGGTGGTACCATGACCTGGGACTGCGTAAACAAGAATCAGGAGACTTAGTAAGTAGGTAATGGGTTGGGTTGTAAGCTAGAAGTAGTATAACCTCATTTGCGATACTCATAGCTTTGCTTATACCCCACTTCCTAATTGCCCTGATCCTTCGATTGGGGTTTAAGGTTTTGGGATACTTCCACAACGTGTAAATTCCTACTACTAGATGCTGATGGCCTAAGCCCTTGAACTCTAAACGTAACATCGTAGTGTTTATGACAGGGCTCTTCCTGTACCGGTTCTTGCTCACAAAAAGCGCACCCACAAGATCACACAAAAAGTATGGGCCTTAATAGTTGCGACAAGGTTCACGGGTATACCATGTGACCATGCTTTCTGCATGTTACCAAAAGCATGGGTTTTAAAACAAATGTGTATATATATATATATATATATATATATATTTATTTATGTATATGTATAAAAGTACGTAAACACGTATATGTGTGTGTATGCAAACAGATATGTATATATGTATAATTAATATTGGTAAATATGCCAACCCCTACATTAGCACATGAGGATCTCGATGAGCTTCTGTTTACGGGGGTCTGCATATACGCTGAATGGAAGATCCTTATCTTCAGGAGCTCTACAACATAAACCCTCAACCGCGAAACCTCAACGTTCTATATTACAGGGACCTCTATGGTAAACCTAGGTTGTTTCGGTACATCTTACAGTTCAGCTATATTCAGGACCCCTAGCGACTGCATACACATACTAATATACATACTAATATACATATATATATATATATGTATATATATATATATATGTATATTATATATGTGTGTATAAATAAATAAACATATATATATATATATATATATATATGTGTGTGTGTGTACGTATGAAGTTTGGGTCCCGGGTGCAGCCACGTCCCCCTCGGCAAATCCAGCCCTGGGCACACGCTCCTTCTCCAGCCACCTGCGGAACACGAAGAAGTTGAGAACATTCCTCGGTGGAGGTTCAGGGCCTAGGCTGAAGATGTTTAGGGTTTAGGGTTTAGGGGTTCAGGGTTTAGGGTTTAGGGGTTTAGGGTTTAGGGTTTAGAGTATCTACGGCCCCCGACTAACAAAAACATGGACGAGGATTTTAGTCTCTTCCGGGCTCAGTAGGCCAGCTTGAAAGCTTGAGGGTTTGATGTCAACCTCCGAACTCCAAGCCCAAACCGCAAGTTTAGGGTTTAGGGCTTAGGGTTTAGGGTATTGAGGGTTTAGGGTTTAGGGTTTGTAGGATCTTGCTGCCATCCAATGGCCACTTCTCGAAAGGTTCGCGGTAGCCGCGGACAATTTTGAGATGGTCCTCGCGATTTTGGGGCATGGATGGTGTTGTCCTAACGAAGACACCTTTGGGCTCAATGTGGCTAAAGAGGTTGATATATATAAGCCTGAATCTATTCCTCAGGGTTCCGGCCTACAACTGCAGTATAAGAACCCAACTTGGGGCTAATTATGAAGGCACCTATATGGGAGTTTCTGAAAATTCGGGGTACCTTATTTCGAGGTACTTATAATAAGGGTACTACTATTTAGGGTACCATATTAGGATCCCCTGTTTTCCATAATTGTTGAAGGAGAAGGGCTACCGGGAGTACAGAGGCTTTAGACTCGATGAACAGAGGCAGCACTTCTCCCAAAGGCTCCATGTAGACATATAGTATATACTCTACCCTAAAGTACCTATATGAACCCCTTTAAGGCCTAAGTATATACTATATGGGTACATGGAGCCTCAGTATCTGGCTTTCGGCGCCTCCACATCCGAATGATCCGTGAGTGCGACTCACACGCACCTGATCATCGTAAGCCCAAGCCCTAAATCGAATCCGTAACCCTGAACTCTTGCTGCGGATGCCGCACCTCATAGAGTTTCCGGATTATCCAGAACTTTTCGTCCACCTTGGCATCAGAACCCAGAGCCACTCAACATGCGATGCAAGTTTAGAGCTTGCGGTGTGAGGTTGAATGGGTTCGGAATCAAAAGTTATACCTGCTTAGGTTAAGGGTTTTTGAATGAAGTTATGCTTGCAAACCTTGTATTAAAAGCAGAAGCGCAGCATGAATGACTGTACCGATATGGCCCGTGTCTACTGGAAAGAGTAGCCGAAGGGGGTCGACATACGGTTGATGATATAAATCCTGCATTACCCTAAGGACCCTAAACTATGGAAATTATGGTTTTTTCTTTTTTATGGATAATGCAGGATTTATATCCCTAAACCCCAAAAAAACACTGTAGATCCCTTAAAGGAACCCCTTAAAAACTACCCTTATAGATCCCTTTAAAGGAACCCTAGGATTTAAAACATCAACAGTACCAGGGCCAGCAGGAGTCAGCAGCAGCGGCAGCAGTAGCAGCACCCAGAAATTCGGGAGGATCCAAAAAGTAGATCCCTTAATGGGGGTTCCTTTAGGGGTTCCTTTATAGGGTTTTAGGGTTTAGGGTAGATCCCTTAATGAGGGTTCCTGTAAAGTAAATACCCTTAGTAGTATAGGGCCCCAAATTAGGGGATCTACTTTCTAGACCCCCCCCCGGGGTCTGCGCAGCAGTACGCGGTCTCTGACAAACCCCAAAAGAAAACCAAGTGACCACCTGCCTCATTTCCCCCAACCATCGCAAATAAAACGATCCGCATCATAACCCCTACCAGAGTAACACCTGATTTCAAAAGAGGTGCGTAGTCGAAATAGTTGACGATCTGCAGCTTCTCGGCGAGATCCGCAGGATACCTAGCCTTGCCAGGTTGTCACTTTGTTCAGCAAGGCGGAAAAAAAACTAGGACGATTTAACACTTCAGGGCTTTAAAACTTGCCCTGAACCACACATGTCGCTGCCTTGCACACTCCGACTCCAAACCATAAACCCTAAACCTAAAGCCGAAACCCTAAACCCACAACAGCAACTGCAAACCCTAAAGCAAAAACCCAGAAACCTTATGGCGCTCCGTGCTACCTTCTCATCGAGCCCTATATACTCTAAACCCTTTCGTGTTTAGGGTTGTTTGCTTGGGGTTTCGGGATGTTTGGAATGGTTTAGGACTCACAAGGCCTAAAAACCCTTGAACTGTGAACATCGTAGTTCGGTCTATACCCCAAAGCCCCCAAACCCTAAATATGCCTGAACGCGAAATAATACTAAATACTACTTGGAGGCTCATGGGGAGTTATAAGTCGGCCGGGTTAAGTAAGGTAACTGTATTTATAACCCATAATAGGGGGACTTATAACCCCACTTATAACTACCCATGAACCTCCAAGTAGATCCTAAACCCTATACCCTTCTAGAATCCCTATAGATCGCTTTAAAGGGACATTTAAAGGAACCCCTATAACTACCCATGAACCTCCAAGTACCCCAGGCCTTCAGCTTCTCCGCTGCTGGCACGTCCGAGATCAGCACAACCTTCGGGACCTGGAGTCGTCAACAAAAAGCTAGGTCTCCGAGCCCTTAAGGGAGTTTAGGGTTTAGGGTTTACCTTAAGCCGGAATAACCTACCTTTTTAAGGACTTATATAAGGAAATCATATTACGGAACCCTACAAAGGTAGGTTATTCAGGGTTAAGGTAGGGTTTAGGGCTTAGGGCTAGAAACCAAAAGAAGCCCTACGAGTTTCGGGATTAAGTTTTTTGAGTTTTGTATTGGTTCCTTGTTTCCCTTCTCTGCAACGGCTTGGGGTATGTTATAAGGCATTGTAAGGGCTTCTGCAGTTTTATTTTCGTTAAAACCCGATAGGCCTATAGACAATAAACTCAAACCGCAAAACCCAAAACCAGGGCTTCAGGACGTCTTGCCTGTTGGGGCTTTAGGAACTAGGGTTTCATATAGGAGTCGGATAGACTGCTCAAAACCTTCATTTATAGTATTTATCCTACTGGTTCAGTATCCTGAGCAACTTTTGGGAGTATATTGGGATTATATAGGGATTCGGGTACACCACCAATGTAAAAGCTTACCTACTCTACCACGAGGTTATGCCACGGTTATGCATATTGTTACGATGCCGACTGCTAATTACCAAGGCTCTGTATCAGTGGTTTCAGGGGTCTTTCATGCTCATCAATCACAAAGGGGAAAAGGAGGGACCCTTAATAAGGACCCCTAGGTATATACCCTTAATACAGACATTATATACCCATTATATAGCCCATTACAGGGTAGGGGTCCCCATTAAGGGTCCCTCCTTTTCCCCTTTGATAATCGAAAGTCCTCAGGCCCAAGGAAACCGGGAATCCCCGGACCCTTGGGGTTAAGGCCAATGTATCAACAAATTTGAGTACATGGACCCTTCGCCCAACTAGGGTTCAAGAGGATGACAGCGATCCTACACTACCCGGAATCTGCACTAAGTTCAGGCCCTTCCAAAATCCCTTAATTAGAGAACATCCCCCGCATCATATCAGAGCACATGCTATAATTTACAAGGTATATTCCTTCATCGAAGGATATCCCTAAGGGTCCCAAGGACTCGGTTGAAGGATAGTAGTAAGTTATGTAGGCTGCTATTGAAGGATAGTAGTAAGTTATGTAGGTTGCTATTTTGGAGAGTATATGATCATTAAGTACTTGGATGAGGATATTGGAAAGCTTCAGCTTCAAGACTAGACAATGCTTCAGCCGCGTCACGTGGATGAGGCTGGCGCCCACTGCTTGGGCAAAGTACTCACCGACGGTGCAGTTCGTCCTCAGAAGGCCGCAACGACCCTAAACCCTGAACCTTGTACTAAACCCTATAAACCTTAGGGTCCCCTGTGCCCAACTAAAGTTTCCTGCCAGGGGTTCCTTTAAGGATTCTATAAGCGTACCATCAGGGTTTAGGGATGTTTAGGGTATGTAAGGCTCCATGTGCCCAACTTGTATACACTCTAACCTTTTTCGTAATCCATAATTCTGTATATACTATTTGGGTACCTGGACTAGAGTTGGCAGCAGCGACGACAGTATCAACAGCATCAGAACCGCGGCATATCTTTTGTTTAATCATCCTATATAAGTTTAAGTTCTGAGCCCTATAAACCCTAATATGCTCAAGGCCTACTACTAGCTAACATCTTGATGCTGAGACGGCCAGCACTTCTCTCTCCGGACAACTCGGTGTAGCTGGTGATGTTTTAAGGGGCATTGGGATTAACGTTTGGGGGGTCCACTGTGCCTGAAGCCTAAGAGCTAAGCCCTAAACCCTTCCCGTATCAGGTTGTGTGGTGATGTGGTTTTAACAAAGTGAAGAAACCGCGTTTCCGTCCCTTGGGTTTCTTTCACTTATGAAAAAAAACGCACCACAGTTCAAGGGGTTACTGGCTTTGTTTGGAGGGTTTCGCTCGTATGTAACATAAGCACGCAGTTCATGCTGTCACTTGTTTTGACTCAATTGCTAGAAGGGCAAAAATGAGGAATGAAATAAGCAGAAATTGTTCCTTGGCTGCCACAGGTTCCGGTCACTATAAAACAGCATGCGATTGTAACTGGGGTGTTGTCTGTTGTGTGTAACCTACATAAGAGAACCAGGCATTCATGTCATTCGCTTATGTGCTTGTTCAATTTCACCATAAATATGCGGCATGCAACAATACGTAACGCTGAACAAAAAGAAAAATGTATACATATATATATATATATACACATAAATGTATATGTATATATACATATATCAAAATACCTGTAGGATCCATTGTAGTTCCCTCTGCAAATTACCTTATAGGATCCAACATATCAAAACGACACCAGAAGAAGGAACTGCAATGGAAAAGACAGGCAGGTTCTTGGATTCAGAAGTAGAGCCCCCTAAACCCTACAGTAAACTCCGTAAAGTTGGAAACCGGATTAAGGTCAAATAGTGCTGGGATTCCCTATACATCACTCTTAAGGATTGAGGCTATGGGGTTTCCAACTTTTGGGCTTTTACTGTAAACCCTCCAGAAGTGGAGGATAAAGGACCCAGCTGCATGCCACAGTGCAGGCATTGTGACTGGCAGTTAACTGAGCGTTTAAGTAACCAGGGAGAAAAAGTATAAACTATTGTTCCAGAATGGTTCCTTTTCAGCAAAAAATACTTATTAAAGCATGGTACTCCGAAGCCCAGTTGAGTAGTTAGCATTGGTTCATACAACACTTCGCCTTCACTCGATGCCCCAAGCTAGCCCTTCTGACATCCAGGGCACTAGCTTGCTTGCGCGCTGGATCAGCAGCAGCTCAATCTCAAAGGCCCTCAGCCCTAAACCCTGAGCCTCAAACCCTAATTTAGGGTTCAGGGTTTAGGTAGGGTAAGTAGAAACGTCCAAACACGTTCAAACCCCCCCCCCCCCCCCGCACCCTCACAGACTCCGAAGCCCTAAATGCAAAACCCGAAGAGCAACACCTTCTTGCAGACCGAGCCTCTTGATTTCCCATCGCAGCGTCTGAGGATCTGTTGAATTTATGGGGGAGACTTCCCCACAGAACCTGGGCTCTTGCGTTTATGAAGTTTCGATTGGAAAGGAAACTTATCTTTATTTTAAACGGTACAAGGGCGTAAAGTTTGGTAGTAAAAGGAACTTGATTTGAATTCAGGTTGCAGTGAATGAATGAAAATCACCAAAAATCTTGCAGCTAGGATAGCTTAGTTCAAACTTATTCCCGAGGCACCAGACATAGACGAGCGGTATCACAGATGCAGGGCCGGCAGCAGCTGGCGGTTGAGGTTCAGTCTTTTGAGGCACTTGAGGCAAGTTGAGAGACGCCCAGGCAACACCTGGGGGTTTCCGAAAATAGGGGACCCTAATATAGTACCCTAAATAACAGGATCCTTCTTGTAAGGACCCCAAAATAAGGTACCCCTATTTTCGGAAACTCCCACCTGTCGACGTGCTTGAATCCTCTTGCCCTGGTACCGGCGCCTCTGCAGCAACAGGTGGTGCGTCCTCCGGCACGGCGCCTTAGTGCCAAACAGCTATAGACAAGACTCAGACTTAGACAAGAGCGACCCCTAGAATCTCTCTTCAGATCCACAGCCGGTTGCCCTTCATTTCCCCATGTGGGACCTTTAAGTCAATTGAGCTCGGGACCCACTTGGATCTGCAACTGCTCCAGCAAGTCAATAGAGTGTTGTATCGCACGTTGCTTCCAGATCTGTGGCGTGAAGAGCACCAGCGAAGCGCCGACAATGAAGAAGCCGAGTGACACGTAACGCATGAGGGCCAGCGGCAGTCTACCTTCGTGTACCTTTCTAGTTCGCAGTTCTTGTCTGCCACCTGCTGTCGATGTTCGCGCTTGTGCTTGGATGGCCGGTACGCTAAGCGCCCGCATGTAGCATCATGCTACGGCACGAAACCTTCTACACAGGCTAGCGAGCCGCAACAGCCCAGTGAAACAAAGGTTTAGCCGAAAAGTTTGGACGCTTCCATCTACCCAGACCTTCCAAAATCCCTTAATTAAGGAATATACCTTAAATCATATTAGGGCTCCTAGTATAATTTAAGGTATATTCCTTAATTAAGGGATTTTTGGAAGGTCTGGGTACATCTTGACTTGTCAGGCTCCTAACTCCTAACAGAAACCGCCGTCATGTGGAAATTTCTCAACTAACGGGGAGTCCACAAAAATGTAGGCTCCGGCCGGTTTGAGTTAGGTTTCGATGGAACCCGAACCCAAACACCAACTTGAACTCGCAACCCTTACCTGCAGGCACCCTATCCCTTGTTTGGGGCATCTACTTTTCTATGTAGCAGATCCTAACCATAAAACTAGGTATCCCAAAAAAGGGGGTAGGGTATGAGCCTTTAGGACAGCTGAAGCCGCACACACCCGAAACGACCAAACCCTGCAGCGCAAACTGCTACACCCACTCTGAAGTATAGGATCCTTGAATCCTTGCTGCAACGGTTGATGATATATACATCCTGCATGACCTTAATGACCCTAAACTATGGGATTTATGGTATATTCCTTAATATGGGTAATGCAGGATTTATATCATCAACCGAAGGACCCAACAAAAAGTTAGTGCCAGTAAAACCCCATAAACCCTCTACAAAACATCCCGCAAACCCTTTGGATAGAAACTCCGAAAAGACTCAAGCGCCCCAGCACGTTGACCTGTCGCACCCTATCGAGCTCTTACACACTTATGCCCAAAGCCCTAAACCCCTACATCAACCCTTCAAACAGTCCCAAACCCCCTCTGTCTCTCACGCCAAGAAAGCGCCGCGAGAATTAAGCTCCCAGCGAGGATTAGACGTTCATTTACTTGAGATTTATTTTAACCCTAAAGCCCTATAGCCCCAAACCCCAAACTCTCAACCCCTAAATCCATAAACCCTAAACCCCTAAACCCCAAATTTGTCCCTAAACCCCTAACGGAGCCCTTCAAGTAGCCCTTAAAGGAACCCTAAACCCCCTTACAGGAACCCTTACAGGATCCCACCCCTTTTTCTCGGGGCCGCCACGCCACCGCCGAGGCCGGCGACCGAGCGAGCCCAGATCTGTTCGTGGGACGGCCTCGGTTTAGGGCTCCTTTCAAGGGTTCCTCTTTAGAGGGATCCATAAGGGTTCCAAGAGGTTTTAGGATTTGGGGTTTGTAGGGTTTAGGGTTTGGGGTTTTTGGGGTTTAAGGCTCCTTTAAAGGGTTCCTGTGGAAAGGTCCATAAAAGTTCTAAGAGGTTTAGAGAGTTTAGGGATTAGGGCTCCTTTTACAGGGTTCCTTTGAAGGGATCCATAACGGTTCCAAGAGGATTCATAGGGTGCCGGGTTTAGAGTTTAGGGCTCCGGGTGGAGAGGTTGCCATTTTCCTTCTATGGTTTAGGGATTGCAGTTCAAGACTTGTTACTTATGTTTTGGGCTCGTTCCTCTTCGCTCTGTTCTTCTGCTGTATCTTATGTACATCTTGTATTGCTTTGAGGTTTTGAAGACGGGGCGGTGGGTTGCCAGGATTGTGTTGTCTTTAACAGAACTCCTTCGATGCATATATATATATATATATTATGAAGTTATGTTGCTACGGTTCTGAATCCTCAAACGATCACCCTGCTAAGAGTTGAAGGTTTACCCATGAATCCTCAAACGTAAGCCCCAGATGCCGAACACCTCGGGGTCTAAACTAAGGTAAGGTATCCTGCACCATCTGTAAACAGTAGGATCCTAATTATAAGGACCCCAAGATAAGGTACCCCTAATGTTCGGAAACTCCCAAAAGCTATGGTTCGCCCCCAACCCTAAACCCCTAAACCCCTGAAACCCTAAACCCCTACACCGTAAACCCCTGAAGCACTGAAGCCCCAAACCTCTAAATCCTTCAAACCCTAAACCCCTAAAGCGTAGATTCAAATCGAAACCTGAGCCCTTGACTTCCCCCCAACCAAGATATCAAAGGCTGAATACCTGTAGGACTCCCCTAGGGTTCCTTGGGTTCCTATTATAAATAAAAGCTTTTTGTAAGGGATCCTAGAGTTCCCTGGGTTCCTAAAAGGGGCTCTTCTTTTGGGATCCATAAGGGCTCTAAGAGGGTTTAGGGTTTAGGGTTCCTATAAGGGGCTCCTTTAAAGGGGTCCATAAGGGCTCTAAGAGGGTTTAGGGTATAAGACCTGGTGAAGGGCTTCAGGGTGTAGGGCCGTGTAGGGGGCCAGGTCTTCGTAGGGTTTAGGGTTTAGGGCTTAGGGCTACTATCTGTCCTAAACCCGGTTTCCAACTTTTTGGGGTTTACTAGACTTGGAGGTTCATGGCTAGTTATAAGTGGGGTTATTATAAGTCCCCCTGATATAGGTTACCCTCGAAGGAACCCTAAACCGGGGACGCGACTCCAGGGAGAGAGCCTTCGTGGTGAAAACCAGCTCCGAGCCCCAAAGCTCGGCCTTGAGAGATGAGTCTACTTGGAGGCTCGGGGGACTTAGTAGCTCTAAGGGGTTCCTTAAGGGCCCCTTTAGAGGGATCTATAGTTTAGGGTTTAGGGTTTAGGGTCTACTTGACCCGTACTACGGTTTAGGGTTATTTAAGCCCCTTTCTTAAATTCTCGAAATTAGGGTTCCTTTTTGGATTTAGGGTTCCTTGAAAGAGTTCCTTAAACGGGTTCTATAGAATGATATGCCTATTCTAGGGTGCAGCATGAGTAGATCTCTAAACTAGGGTCCCTTTACGGGTCCTGTTTTATAGGCGTGCCATAAAGCCATAACCCCTAAACCCTAAACCGAGGGTGCCGTCCAGTCTTTGGGACCTGGAAAGTGATCCTAACCTAATCTAGAGAGTTACTCCTCTAGGGGGCCAGGCTTCTTCAAAGGCATCTAGCACTGACGAGGTTCCTTCAAAGCGATCTATACGGGCACTATAACCAGCAGAATAACGATGTTGAAACTTCTTCGCTTCTACTGTAGGGGCCTTGAATCGAAAAGTTTTTTGGACAGGTTGTTGCAAAGGTTTACAGTAGGGATTCAGTGAAAGGGCTTACTGTAGGGGCCTGGATCAGAATAGGGTTTGGGGCAAAAGCTATCTATGAACTCCTCTGGATTACAGGCTCTAGGGTACATACCCTACGGTCCTGGACCCTGATCAAGCCCTGAAGCCTAAACCGTGGCTCAGGACCTTGAACCCTTAACCCCAACCTCAAAGCCCGACACCCTTTTTCAGGGACATTAGGTACTAAGTCCCATGGCCGTTAACACCCTAAACCCTTGTAGGTCCTGAGCCCTTGTCATCGTGAGTACTTCGGGCATATGAGAGGGTCGTTGGGGGCTCGAAGTCGTTCGGGGGCCTAAAGGATTGGAATATGGCCTTGCGGTATATACTTATACGCGTCACACATTCCTTTTATGTATCTAGTGTCTAAACGGGAATCTCAACAACACACATTCCGACCTACATCTTGGTTTAGCTGCGGGATCATTGATGGCTTCATGGAAGCGCATCAACCGCTATTGAACACTTACAGTAGAAGCCGGAAAGTTGGAATATGGTTTCAGGGTAGGATACCCTATAATTTACCATAAAGGGGCTAGGATAATGATATTCCAACTTTCTGGCTTCTACTGTAAGCCCTTAACCGGCAGGACTCTTTCTTGAGACCTCCCTCCCTCGGTTCCTCAGTAGCCCCTTTATAATAAGGGTACCCTTTTCCCTGATATTCAGCCCTCAACTCTAAACCCTAAACCCCTAAACCCTGATATTCAGTTTTAACAGGGGGACCCGAATTCAAAAGGGCAAAAGGGGCCTACTCGGGAACCTTAGCTCCGTGACGAGAAGTGAACCTTCGCTCCGAATTCCCCACTACTCTGAGCCCCTGGGCCCCACGTGCAACATGTGGGTAGTTGTCAAAATTAGGGACCCTTTCTGGGTACCCTAAATAATAGGTGCCGTACTATATTAGGGACCCAAAAGCCCATTTTCAATCCTGCCCACATCCCCCCAAAAAAACACGAACAACGGCCTAAACCGCGCTACTTAGATCCTGAATTCGGACCTGAAGCCCTCAGGCCTAAAACCCTTAAAACCCTAAACCCCCAAACCCTAAGCCCCAAACCACCCCCCAACTACCCCTTCATTACTAAAGCTGATGTACCCCCTTTTGAAGACCATAAGGCCTCCATTAAAGGAAACTTGGGCAATGCTCCCTGACCCCAACTTAGTTGCTGAGTTCATTCGCCCCCAAAAGTGCACACTTCTAGTTTAATAGTGGGTGGTATTACACCAAAAAGTGTAAAGTGTATCCACTTACCTTATTTTGGGGTCCTGATAGTAAGGATCCTACTATTTATAGCACTGTAGTTAGGGTCCCCTATTTTTGGAAACTCCCAAACAAACTACATTTTTTAAGGACTTGAGCCCGATCGCGAGAATGCAATCTCAGCCCGAGGCTAGGGACACGCTGGCTTCTTTCGACCTCGGGTTTAGGGCTTAGGGGTTTAGGGGTTTAGGTTTAGGGTGTTTAGGGTTTAGGGGTTTAGGTTTAGGGTGTTTAGGGCTTAGGGGTTAAGGGGTTTAGGTTTAGGGTGTTTAGGGTTTAGGGGTTTAGGTTTATAAGGGTTTAGGGTGTTTAGGGTTTAGGGTTGGGGGTTTAGGGCTACGGGCTCTGGGCTTGGAGGGTTGAGGGGTTTAGGTTTCGGATTAGGGGTTTACGGTTGAGGCTTGAGGGTTCTATCATCGGGGCCTGCCTAGCTAGAGTACGGTTCCTGTTGCAAAGGGTTAATTACTATACTATAAGACCCCATTCGTATTTAATCTAAGGCCTGCAACCCTGCAGCCTTGCATACAGGAACCCCAAGGCAAAATGTTTGTAGTGATGGAGGAATCGATAGTCGTGTTTGCCGCATGTCCTTTTCGAG